GAATTGAGATTCTACTACTTTTTTTAAGTTCAGTTAAAAACCACATCGTTGAGTTACATTTAATGTATCAATAAATCTGTGCTGCTGAGGAATTTTCTTGTCTTTACTACTACAACTACTATAATGCAACATACAAAACATCATTTCTACCTGTGGCGTAATACCTAAAGCCAGCAGTGGTCACACATTCTTGATAAAAATTCTTGCAAGAATAGTATCTATGTTTAACAAAAGTAGAAACAAATTATATTACTTATGCTGTCTGTAGTATAAGCGTTTAGTACACATTTTAATAAAACACCTTAACTGTTTAAAACGCGATATATATTAGTTAATTTTTTTCCCTCGTGTCCACGGCTGCTGCAAAGCATCATGAAACGTCGGGTCGCAGTAAAATAGTTTTCAAATAAGTTTAACTAGTATATATCTCGTTTTAAACCGTTAAGGTCTTTTATCTAAATTTATTTATGCTGGTAAGATATCCTACCTAAGTATGACAAAGTAAATTTTCCGTTAAGTTTTTGCTACTGTCAACTGTCAAGTGTTTAACAAGTATTTGTTTATTACAATGATATCAGCTAAGCTAACATAAAGCGGTTTAGGTAGTTACGACTTGTGTTTGGATTTTAGGAAAGACGTACTTACAGCGTATATAATACCTAGCTGAGTCAGCGACAACGTCCGCGTGGAAAAGCTGTTTTGGCCATCCTAATTTATTTTTGCAAACCTCTTATAAATTTAAGCGACCAGTCCGCTCAGAGCCCGTCGTTCTTGCAACTTAATCTTAAGAGATATACAAATAGTGTCAGCGACATTTTTTCAATTAATTTAAAGAGAAATCATTCTTACATCACTGTTTTCGCAGCGTACGCATCAGAAACCCATAGAGATAAAAATTTCCCCAGTTTTGTTCCCCTTTTTGCCGCTGTATCTTCGCTTCTATTAGTCACGGCGTGATGTTTTATAGCCTATAGCCTTCCTCGATAAATGCTCTAACCAACTAAAAAGAATATTTAAATTCAAACCCGTAGTTCCTGAGATTAGCGCGTTCAAACAAACGAACTTTTCAGCTTTATAATATTTGTACAAATTTGATATTTCCTTGTTTTAAGTACCAATAAAATATTAAATGAATTATAAGAATAATAATTACTATAAAGATCACACAATTATTATGGATACTAAAATTATTAAGTGCGTTGCAATTTACTTTTAAATAGCATATGCACGATAAGGTCCTAGGTCAATGCCTTAGATATATAGAGCTATATTTCTTATATGCAACGCGAAGGAAAATTACTGGTTACGTTCTTTGTTATATAAATATAGCTTGATTTCTTTCAATGGCCTACAATTTGAGAAAATTGGCGAAGGAGATTTTTATTGCCTGTAGAACAAAGAGATATTGCCCGTATAACGGTTTAAAACGCGATAGAGTTGTTTCATATTTTAAATCGCGTAAAGTGCTGCAAAGGCTTTTTATGGATATTCGGAAATCCACAGGCTGAAACGGAAACGCGATTCTCTACACTTGGCGGCTTTTTCATCGGTGGTAGGTGACTCGGAGGGAATTTTGATATTCCTACCACCCGTTTAATATCCAGATTTCCAAACGAAATCCAACTTGTTTTAGAAAAAATATAAATCGATTGAAAAATTTTGGACTCGGTTCGGGATCAAGTCTACCCATTGTCCAAACACTGTCCAGTTAAAAATAAGTTGACAAATATTTCTCACGCATAAATTACATATTATACTTACTTTTTGATAGTAAAATGCTTATAAAATGATGAAAACATACTGATTCACTTTTAATATAGTTTGTAGTTCCGTAGTTCAGTCACTTCTAAGTACGAGGGGACTTACTAACTACTAAAGACCGGCGCTTCTTCTTACTCTTCTGTTTTCTCTCATTTCACAAACGCTCTTTCTAAGTTTCTACCCCTTTTTGTTTGTATTTATTTAAGGATATTTAAGTAAAAGCGTTTTCTTTAACGACGTAAAAATGTTCAATACCTGCATAAGAAAATTTCATATCTTTCGTCTTGGCTACTATTAGGAATCGAGATTTTATATTAAAATCAAAATTCGAATGTGGATCGCCTTGAATTAATTATTGCCACTCAGTTTTTAACTATAACCTTATGCGTTTCCGTATTATGTACCGTTTTAAGGGCTGTACTACAACACAACACGACACTTATCAATCTATACATGTAAATTGGTTTGTCCTGTCCGTGAATATGACGGCATTGAGCCGTTGAATCTTTGAATGTGTGTTTGTATGACGTTGATAGCCGAATAAAGATGTTATTTGTTATTTTTAAGGCTGTGCAAAGGGAGGGCAAAGATTGTTTGGGACAAAAATTGCACGAGCGGGACTCGAACCCCCCAGCGATCCATGTCCGCTCTTTTTATTTGTTCAATAAAAAAATCACATTTCTATACGAGATGTGGTTTTCCGATATTCAATTCAATTTTAAAATAAGTTTAACCAATATATATCGCGGTTTAAACCGTTTTATTTAAAGGCTACAATGTTATGTGACGCAAGTAACGCCGCGAAACGTTTCTAGGCGTAACCATCGTTGCTAGAAGGGCGCTAGGTTTTCGGTTTTACAATTCAGATTATAACGCAATTAGGCAAGAGGAAGCCCTTCACTATAATGTATAATTAATCCATTAACGCTTATCAGAACATAAGAGATTTATTGAGACAAAAATGTAAACAAAAAAACCTTCGCTGTCAATTAATAATTTATTATTATTTCTATATTTATAAATGTAAAATCACGCTGTTTTCAGTACGTTCAAAAGATTCAAAATTCATTGGAGATTGAAATCCATTAATCACTCGAACGACCTCAATATTCGGAAATCCACAGACTGAAACCGAAACGCGCTTAAGCTTCACGGCTTTTTTTATCTGTGGGACGGTGGTACGTGACCCGGACGGAATTTCTATATACCTACCCATTAATATCCAGATTTCCAGACCCGGGAGAACGAACGCACGGCCCGTTGGTGATTAGCGATACATTGCTACCATTACTAACGTTCAGATAGATTGAAAAATATGTTGGACACGGTGGATTAATTGGGTTCTTATTTTGGGTTCGAGTATTGTTGTGTGAGGAATTTTTTTTTCTCATTTCTACACAATATTTTAACTTTTCTATAAGCTATAATGTTGTGTAATAACACACGAGAGAAAAGATTTTCACGTTTCTTTCTTTCAACATTCTCAAATAGTTCTTCAAAACTTAGATGAGTAGAGTGGCTTTCTTCTGAGTTTATTTATATTGTAGTAGTTATGTCTAGGTGTGTCAGCACAAACAAACAAACACACTCTTCACCTTTATATATTAGTATAGATCTAATTTAAACATTTATTTACTTCTTGATATTGTTAAAACGTATTCTATTCTATTCTGAAACTCAAACCATTTATTTCACAAGACAGAATAAATAACTTAACTATTAGCTTAATAACTCCATTTTTAAAAAAAGAGGAAGAAGAAGAAAAACAGATAGAAACTCGTTTAATTCTAAAATAAAACTTCTCTCAACGGCAGTCTTTTGTTTCTCAATTACATCCAGCTAAAGACTATCGAAGTGTGAGCTTGTCTGCGACCTAGTTGCCCTCTGATAATGAAGATGTTTACTTGCTCAGACTCAATTAAGCTTATCACAATAATATTGTCAACTGGGGCCCAATTCTGCTATTTAAAATGACCTATCGCCAGAATGGCTTGTGCCATTTCGTATAGACAATTGTGTTGTCGCGCTATAGTTTTATTTATAATAAGCAGAATCGGTTCCCTAAAACTTTGGCATTATAGATAAGTAGGCATTGTCTGTAGTTTACGCGAATAAAACGTTTACTTTAAAATAAATGAATAAAAAAAAATATTACGGTATATTGTGTTTTAAACCGTTAAAAGAAATGATAGTGGAGGACAGACTACCATAGTAGCTAAAAAACCCCAGCCATATCTCATCTAAACATGATGCACTGTCGACCGGTTTTGATTTTCATTCGGAAATCCACAAACTGAAACCGAACCGCGATTAAACTTGACGGATTTTCATCAGTGAAAATGGGCTCGTGGCCCGGACGAATCTAGACTATCTAGATTTCCAGAAGTCTAGCATATTTGGCTAGAAAAGCGTTGGACTCGTTGGGGATCGAATCCTTGCCCCGTTGATTATTAACCATAAGTCCAATTGTCCAATTTGCATAGCTACATCAAACACCACAATTACAACGGTCTAAAAAACACTGATAAATTCTTATTTTCTGTATTTGCATTGGGTCGTCTGGGACGTGGGAGTTTTAATGCACAATTCCCCATGCCGTATGCACGCATTTATATTAAAATGTTCAACCGTTACGAGTTATTTTTGTTGTACATTATTTTATCGGGCTAACGAAAACAGTTATGCCAGATAAGATGTATCGTACGACAAGGGAACAAAGTGGGCACGCGACAATTACTCATCCGGTCGGCTCGATGCCATTCTCTTTATGGATAACGCTTCATCAGCTGCAACCAGTGACGAGTTCTCGGTACGTTCGCTTCTACATCCGTTGCATTTCCGATAACGCAATGACTCAGCGCACACGCTGATCGAACATTTTACCTAAGCAGTCAGCAGTTTCGATTCAAGCTATAACATTCATAATTCTAGTCGCTAAACGACCGCGTCTGTGTGAGGTCGTTCTAACACTCCTTCAGCACGTGACCGAAGCGGGAATCGTAACGTCGCACCGGGTAATCGTAACGTCGCGACGGGAATCGTAACGTCGCTACATAAGTAGACGAGCACGCGACCGCCACGAGGCTCTGTTGACAACGTCGATATCGATAGCGTCTAGTGATGTAAACATTTTAAATCACCTGTTAGCTAATCGCGTTTATCGGCGCGGGCGCGGCGTGCCCGTTCAGTTACCGACGGTGTTCGAGTGTGGTGACACGGCGGTTTAAGTGTAGACGGAAATGCCAGCGCTCGGCTACGAAATGGCGACGTCATACGAAATGTGTTCAACGCGGTACATGGTGAACGAGGAGTACATGATGCCCCAGTTGTGGGACAGGCAGCTCCCGAGCCCATACTCGACGTACATGCACAGGAACCTGGCAGAGAACACCCGGCAGCGGATGGACACCGCGATGTTTTACAGTACATGTCAGATTTTTTTTAACCCCGCGAAAGCACCAAGATTATAATTATCGAATCGGTGTATATCTGTGGACTTGTTTTTTTGATCTGCTAACTGTATAGAGCTTTTTCTACAGATTAAAAACAAAGTTTTAGTTTACTGTTTTCTGAAATAGATTTTAATGATATAGTTATCTGGGTAGCAACGGTTACACATTATCTGTTAGACGAGGTCTTATCTGCATCAGACCATATTTTGCGTGTGCTTCCTAATTGGTTGTTTGTTAATTAATCAAAAGTTTGAGAATAATATTACAAAGATACCGATGCAAATAGTGAACACAAAAAATTATAAGAACGTCGAATGTATAGGTACTTTAGAACAATATTAAAGTATTAGATATAAGGAAACAATTATCGCGGAAGTCTTAAGTAAATATCTCTTCCATACGTCGATGTGTATAAGTAAATACCATCTATTGTTATTAAAATATCATTCGTAATTGCGTAGTGTAAAGCAGGGAGATAAAAGTTGTATTGTACGAACATCCATGTGTTTTTCAGTATATAAGCCTAAAAACAAATTCACTCATATGCGTTCTAAGCAGTTAAAACCGTTTTATTTAGATAAAACGCTTTTAACTGCTTAAAACGCGATATGTATTAACTTTGCAATTTATAATAACTACGGCCCGACGCAATGTTTCATGTTGGTCGGCTACTGCAAAACGTTAGGCCGTATTAGTTGTAGTATTACTCAACATATTTCGCGTTTTAAACAGTTAAAAACTTTAGTGCTAAAGTTATAAGCGATCTATCTATTTCAATACAAAAGACATCAATATCGCTGCTAAACTAACTAACACCTTAAAATTATGAGAGAATTTGTGCTATTTATTTTTCAAGATTATTAATATTAACATAGACAACAGCGCCATTATTTTTTTCTTTGTCATGAGTTATGACGCTCGGCGCGGCAGAGTGGGGATATACTTTCAGCGTAAATAAAACACATTCGACGGTTCTAAACGAGATATTCGTTAGTTGCAAAGCGTCGATGTCAACGCGCGTGAACAACGAACAACACATATATATACGATCTTGGCGCTACAACACATTTTGTAAAAAGTATAAAATATTTGTCTTTTAGAGACACATCTTGTTGGAAAATTTATAAACATTTGACATAGGGTTTTTTTAATAATTTGAGAATTTTTTTTTGTGCTTCACAAAAAAACGAGGTTATGACTCTTTATTTCGAGTTTGATGAATATGCTAATGCGGCAAATCGTAGTTGCATGTCTGTAATTTACGCGAGTAGTACGTACTCATTTAAATAAAACACTTTTAACGGTTTTAAACTTGAAATGTGTTAGTTAGGCGCGACGTTTCAGCCGCGCCGTATAGTTGGTATTGTAAATAAGTTAACGTTTTATTATAAATATCAGCGTTTTAAACCGTTAAGAGGGTTTTATTTAAATATTAAATACATCTTTTTATACAATGCCATCATGTGCACGTGAAAAATATTAAAAATTTCAGAGCTAATACAACATTCGAGTAAGGCTCCAAGACACTAATAGAATAAATTCATATAATTTGTTAACATACCAATATTCACACATATGCTCGTAGCCACGGGGAGGATGTCTTTAATATCAAGTAATATATTTCGCGTTTTGAACCGTTAGAATGTTTTAAATGTGCACTTCTCGCGTAAACTACAGACTTATACACTTCTTTTATGTGTATTTAAATATTAATCTAAAAAAATATACGTAAATACGAATTAATTATAATATAATATACTAATCTATCGAAATGTATTGGATTGTAAACTTGGAACACGAAGATAAGAATTCGCTGATCGTATTCAACTTTAGAAGTTGTTGCTTTCTAGTTTTTATTATCTTTTAAGACGCGATATATAAGCTTTTGTGAAGAATAATACGATTAGTTGTTTCGGTCGGGCAGGGCAGGGAAGTCTATGTAGGAAACAGACACAAACTTATTGGACCCCATGTCGGTTAATGGTAATTTACACGCCTTCGTAGCTAAGTGGTTAGACGTAGCGTTTAGTTTAGTATTAGAGAAACGTCCTGGGTTCGAATCCCGAGCAAACAATATATCTTTCAGTCGGGCAGTCTGAATCTCTATCTGCCTGTATCAGTGAAATGTATACATCCCATGTCCCACGGGGGGAAAGGGGATTCAATTTTTTCCCTTTATGTTCCTTTTATTTATCCCAGAGAAGAGTATTGGAACAAAGTAAAGAATGCAACTCAAATAAACGTACATCTTGAGAATATGTGATGTTTAAGAAACATTTTAACGGTTTAAAAGGCGACAATATGACAGTTTGCAGCAGCCGTGGTCACGGGAGATTAAAGATGGACGCCGGGCCATAGTTATGATAATTTTAACTAACATATATCGCGTTTTAAACGGTCAAAGTGTTTTATTTAAATGTTTACTACTCGCGTAAACTACAGGTAGTGTGTGTGATGTCGTTAATGTATTTTTTTAACTTTAAACTTGCACAAAAACCAATGACTCTATCAAATTACATTGTTTGGCGGAAACTATTTTTTTACAATTTGACGTTGCAAAATAGGAAATCCCCACACACTGTAGTACCGATTTATTGTACAAAACACTCTGTTGTTTACGAGGTCACCAATTTACAAACGCACTAGTTTTTATATAATTTTATGGGGCATGCGCATTGCAATTAAGATAAGTTGATATATAGTCACAATTTTTTACCGACTAAACAAAGAAAACATTACAACTTTATCAGCGTAGAATAGTTATTTTGGACATCGAAATTTGTTCTTGCAAACCTCCACCTTATCTTAAACCATAACTGTTACCCCTCTATGTCCGCGTTCCGTCGTCCTTGCAAGTTGATCTTAAAAGATAGACATAGTGACGCGGATCTTTCTTTAGATCAATTAAAGAGACCATTCTTTTATGCATACCTTTTTTGGGTATCTTGAACCGTTTTTGCAGCGAAAACCCACAAAGATGGAGTTCCCCGTTATTTCCACACTTCCCCGCTGTTTCTTCGCTCCTAGTAATCACAGCGCGATGTTTTATTGCCTATAGCCTTCCTCGATAAATACTCAAACCAATGCGAAAATAATTTTTCAATTCAAACCAGTGGTTCTTGAGATTAGCGTGTTCCCAAACAAACAAATAAACTCTTCAGCTTTATATATTAGTATCTATATTTTAAATTATCGAGACTAACGGCTTAAATATCGCACAGGAGGTTGGCAACAATTTTTTATGCGCGAAGTCGCTAACACAGCTAGTATAGATTTTATAGACATACTTATGTGTATAATGTGTTATATCCGCCTACAATATGTATGTTCTTTCAGACAGTGACATGCAGCTGGAGACCAGCAGCAGCGAGGCGAGTGGAACAAGCTCGACATCGCTGTCCCAACATTGCGCGATTTGTGGTGACCGCGCCACGGGGAAGCACTACGGTGCGTCTTCCTGCGACGGCTGCAAAGGGTTCTTCAGGCGAAGTGTCAGGAAAAACCACATGTACACTTGCCGGTTAGTTCGTAGTTAGTAGAGTAGGTGTAATACGCGAGTAGTACACATTGAAATAAAACCTTTTTTTAACTGTTTGAAACGCGAAATATTTGAGTTAACACACTGTTAGTTTTGTAAGGACCCAGCCAGTTTCTCCAAATACCAACTACGACGAAACAGATGATAATAAAAGATAGCAGATTTGACTTTGACATTAGGAATACTCTTCACCTTACTTCCCCTCGTGACCGTGGCTGCCGCAAAGCATCCGAAACGGCAAATAAATTAACTAATATATTTCGAGTTTTAAACCGTTTAAATTGTTGTTTAAACTATGTGTAGTTTTAATTAAACATAACGTATATATTTCGCGATTTAAACTGTTAATTTAAACCACAGTTTTAATATTTGCTATTTTAATAAAAGATACGTTTTTGATATTAATTTGTTTTCGTGTTCTCGAAACTGAACCATTATCTTATAGATCCTATATTGAGATTTTGGTATTCAAGATTTAGCAAGGGCTCACAAATTCGATAATGGTGTAAAAATAGAATTTGCTGTAGTCTAATTAACAAACATTTTTAAGTAAATAGAAACTGGAGCCACGATTTTCATAAATAATGGCGGATATAATATTTTAATTTGAACAGTTGTATTTAATGTTTTTATAAGGTATTTTGTTATTGCAGACATTGCTTTAGCCTAACGACAAAAGTATAATAATATTCTTATACTATCATAAAAAGATTTTTTTACGACAGAGAAGAAGCGATAAGTACACTGTCGACCTATTTTTACTTTGATCATACGGTAATCCGCAGAGCGAAACGCGGATTGCATCCCATCTCACCACTAAGACCAGAACCAACACAAAAATAAATTTTCAAATCGAACAAGTAGTTCTTGGAATGATGGTATTCAAACAAACAAACTCCTTTGCTTTAGTATAGATATTTCAACTTTCAACCATATCTGGACCACAGATAAATTACCATAGACATCCCGTAGATAATCTGTGGACGCCACACTTTTAGTAAACAAAATATTTGTTAGTGGGGCTCAATTGAAGTGCAAATTTATAAGTTGACTGGCATGACTTAGCACTTTGAGATGTAACAAAAAATAAATATAACTTATTCTATACGTCATACGTCTATGAACCTAAGATGTCATTAATTCTCAATTGTTTCTTATTCCTTTCAGGTTCAGCCGAAATTGCGTCGTGGACAAAGACAAGAGGAATCAGTGTAGATACTGCCGGCTCAGGAAGTGCTTCAAAGCCGGCATGAAGAAGGAAGGTAAGAGATTCATTATCAATAAAATCTGCGTGCAACTCTAGACCCTCCACACATGTAATAACTGAATCTGAGTTAATCGCTTCGTAGTGTATTTATCTCTTTTTCCCTTTGGATATTCGGAAATCCACAGACTGAATCCGAATCGCGAATTTTCAAGACCTCACGGCTTTTTCATCTGTGGACAGAGGCTCGTGTCCTTCCCGAGTCGTAATTTTTTTTCAATCTAAAAATCGATTTTTAATTTACCTATAATTTGTTGACTATGCGTCTGTGCCTAGCTCGACCCAAACAATCAGTGTATAGTTCCACGAGATTCGAACCTTAACGTAGAATAAAAAAAAACAAACATATAATAAAAGATTCAGAAATAATGTTTAAAAAAAAACACTTTAACGGTGTAAAACGCGATATACTTTTAGTTGAACTTGTTTGAAAATTATTTTTTAATACGGCCCGACGTTTCGGATGCTTAGCAGCCGCGACAAACAAGTTTAACTAAAAATATAACGCGTTTTAAACTGTTAAAGTGTTTTATTTTAATGTGTACTACTCGCGTAAACTACGGACAGTATTTAGGAAATAATGTGCTATTTTGAGTGGAATTGAAATTACAGAAAAGGGACCGTTCAAGTATTACGTAAGCACTATAGAGGGGCGGGGGGGTCTTTGTTTTGCTTATTTTTGATGACATGGGGGGTAGGGGAGTCCAGATGGTGATCGATATTTATTTACTTTCTGAATCAACTTTCTTATTTTTAAAATTATAATATAAGAAATACATTTTTAATTGAAAAATGTTTACGTAAGCACGGGGGAGGGGGACAAAGCTTTGCTTACTTTTGCTGACAAAAGGGGATGGGGGGGTAAATAATTGTAATAAATCTGCTTACGTAATACTTGAACGGCCCCAAATGGACGAAAATTAAATGTTTCATTTTAAACTTAATAAATTATTGCAAACTAAAGTGACCTTGTAGCTACTCTTGAATCTTAATTACCTCGTTATTTCCGAAGTGGTAATGAAACCTAATCACATATGCAAATGTTTCATAAAAATCCACTTTCACACAACCAGGATTATTTTCACAATATAAACGATATGTTATAAGCAACTTGGAAATATCTTCTTCGTCTTCCTTGATGTAAAATATCTTCTTCTTCGTCTTCCTTGGTGTAAAATATCTTCTTCTTCGTCTTCCTTGGTGTACATTGAGGCACAGTTTTAATCTATTAGGAGAAAGTTAATTTCCAACTTTTAATGCATACAGGCTACGAAACAAATTTAAAAGAAATTACCATACTAATATTATAAATGTGATGTGTGTTTGTTTGTCCGTTTTTCGCAGCGGAGGGAAGATTTTTTAGTTGAATAGTTGAAAGGACTTGGACGTGGGCTTTACGTATTTAACCAACTCTTGTTATTTTTCTTACAAGATTTGTGATCTTATCAGTATTTAAAAAAATGATTTTAATGGTTTAAAACGCGATATATATGGAACTTATTTGAAAATTATTTTAACTACCCGTGACCACGGCTGCAGCATCTGAAACGTCGGGGCGTAATTAAAATAATTTCCAATTAGTTTCACCAATATGTATCGCGCTTTAAACCGTTAGCGTTTTATTTAACGTAAACTACAGACAGTATCTTGTTAGTAACTTAAGTATCATAGGTTATGAAATTTTTACTTAGTTTTATTGCATTTAGCTAGAATGGATCATACAGACTCGATTCAATCGAAATCCTTACTTCGTGTATAAATAAATGTCTGCGTACCGTGCTGACCAAAGATGACGATTACAATAAATTATTCAGTACTAAGGGTCAATGACCTCCGCATACCAACACACAACGTATTATGTTAATTGCGATTAAGGTAGTTGACATTATACAAGTTCAATTCGGATTTTAAATTTGAAGAATTAAAAGAACTCGTAAACCTGGTTTAAGAAGGTATTTTTTTAATGATAGAGGACAGAAAAGCATGGCGTTCGCTTGATGGTAGAAATACCACAGCCTAATGCATCTAAACAAGATGCACTGTAAACCTATTTTGGCTTCGGATATTCGGAAATCCACAGACTGAAATCGAAACGTGATTAAACTTTCACTTTTTCATCTCTAGACGGTAGCTCGTGACTCGAACTGAATTTCGATTACAATTACCCCTACTATAATAATAAATAAAACACATTATCGGTTTAAAACGCGATATATATTAGTTAAACTTATTAAGAAATCATTTTAATAATTATCTTTGCATTGGAAACGTCGGACCGTAGTTAAAATAAGTTTAACTAATATATATCGCGTTTTAAACCGTTCAAGTGTTTTATTTACTATTCCATTTATATACTTTAGTGATGTCCACATTCTAACACAACTTTGAAAAAAATAACAGTCTTTTTCGTGTGCTGTAGTCGTGGTACCTTGTGGAAGAAAAAAAGATTTCTGTGATATGCTTATAATCTTATTAAATTGGCGCCTTTTCTCCTAGCACGGATTTTTTGATAGTAACATATTTAGTTGTGCTGCGTTGCGCTATAATGTAATGGTCGTGAGAATTCTGAAAAATAATAAAACTATTTTTTTTTCCTATATACCTACTTATCACTGTTGTATTTAGCACATACAAATTACAAATCAGTCCGTTTTGAAAAAAAAAATACAATATATATTTTTTCTCAAAAGCACTTCTAGCAATTATTACTGTGTATGCTAACAATATTTTTTAAGACTATCTAACGCAAATGGATTAGTAATGTTTCATAGAATGTCGATAACGACGAAAGAGATAAGAAAAATAAAGCCAGGCTCCTAGGCGATTGAAGCAAACGAATCACGTTGAACATTTGTTTATTGTATGAGTTATATTATCTGTTTACTGCGGTGAATACACATAATATGGTAAGAATGGCTATCGGAACAAAACATTGCCTGTGTATATTGCTAGATAACAATAAAATGTAACAATTGATTTTTTTAATGAGAGGAGGACACTTGATTGTAGGTAAGCATCTAAATAAGTTGCTCTGTAAATCTATTTTGGCTTCGGATATTCGGAAATCCACAGACTGGAACCGCAACGTGATTGAACTTCACGGCTTTTTCATTGATCCAGACGAATTTGGATATTCCCAGACGAAGTCCCAACATGTTTCAGAAAAATTATACATTGATAAAAAAATATTGGGATCGGGATCGAATCCCAGATCCGTTGTTTATTAGCCGTACATTACACCAAGGAGCCTGAAATAGTATTAAGGAATAAATTTAATCAATTATACACTTACTGTCTATAGTTTACGCATTTAAATAAAACACTTTAACGGTTTCAAACGCGATCATCATTTTCAAATAAGTTCAACTAATATATCGCGTTTTAAACCGTTCAAGTGTTTTATTTAAATTAATTAATCATGTTGACTAGAAGAAGTCTTGCGTTCGAATGGGAGAAACAATAATACTATTTATGTCAGAAGAGCAGAGAAAGACAAAGACACGTTCTTCCATGTGTATGTGGGATTTTTTCCTCGGTGTCGAACCTGGGCCCTAACGATATTAAAGCGAAGGCGTTACACATTATGCTTAGCTCTGGTAGTTGTCTGGCATACTATGAAACCTAGCTCGCTAAATATTGCGAAAATTATAAGCATACATATATATGCCTCTTGGATTCGATTTCTCCACGTTTCCTTGACCATTTCTGACCGTTGAACACCGATGGGCGAATGAAATAGCATGACCAACAAAACATTTAAATTCCTAAGATGATAGAATTTCCAACGGGTGGTAGAAATTTTGAAAACCGTCTGGATTATCCACTAGGTATATGTGAAAAGACGAGAAGTATTCGCGTTTCAATTTTCAGTAGTGCTTCGTGTGTCCCCAAGCAAACTGCCGGCGCATCCTACTTATTTTTAAATAAAACACTATTAACGGTTTAAAACGTTATATTTAACTTCTTTTTTTTACGAGTCTTCCTCCGTCACCACAGCTCCTGCAAGGCGTCCGAAATGTCAAGCTGTAGTTAAAATAACATTCAAATAAGTTTACTTAATATATATCGCGTTTAAAACCGTTAAAACTGTTTTATTTAAATGTGTCATACTCGCGTAAACTACAGACATTGATACATTTTCTATCAGTCTACTGTCTTCTGTAATAAACTATCGAGAAATGTTTTAAACAGTAAGCAGGTCTCGATAAGAAATTTAAAAATCACGCCACTTTACGTCATCGATAACGTAAGATATGAATGAGTGGAGCGAAGTAGGTACAACTTAGGTGGGGCTTAAATCCAAGAACATATTGAATTATATAAGATTGCTTTGGATGTGAAATTTTATATGTAGACACGTAGTTTGTGTCTTCTGTGCCATGCCCGACCGAAAAGAGGAAGAGCTCTATCAAAACTAGACACTATAGAGACAGTATTTAAATTTGTCAAATGTATAATTTCAGTCTTAACTGCGGCTTCTGTAGCTAAATGGTAAAACGTGTTACCTAGCATTACGTTACGCGTGGGTTCGAATCTCGGGGAAACAATAAATTGTTTCTGTCGGACAGGGCACAGAATTCTGATAAACTACTTGCCTATAAATTAAACCGAAACGAAACGGACACAGTAATGTGTTCGCCCCGTGCCCCACATGGGTTTCCCTTTTTTAGCGAGTAACATTTAACTAATTCATACCCAAATAACAACATTATTTATTTGTCTCTGAATGTCCTTTGTTTTCTATTCAAATAAAACACTAACAGTTCAAAACGCGATATATACCTATTAGTTCAAACTTATTTTGACTTCGGCCCGATGTTTCGGCTACTGTGTACTACTCGGACTAGAGACGGTATTTATATAAGGTTTTAAATAAAAAAATAACAATTACGAGTGGACGCCTAGCTTGCGTACAGAAAGCGAGGTCACATGCAAACCGGTTGATTATGGACAGCAAGATACCTACAAGTAACAAGTAGAGTCCTTTTAGCGTTCGCACTTTTTAAAACAAATGTTTGACAATAAACGGACTAATTTATATTAGCATCATTAAATAGTTTAAAATAAAGTCGCTATGTCTGTCTCTATGTGCTCTTAAATCTTTAAAACTACGCAACGGATTTGGATGCGGTTTTTTAAAAAGAGTGATTCAAGAGGAAGGTTTTTACGATTTAGTATCAGCATTGCACCCGAGCGAAGGCGGGGCGGGTCGCTAGTAGTCTAAAAACGTTAATCTAACATTAACACAATTCTATCACAAATAATAGTACAGATTCATTTTCAAACAAACAAAAAATACTTTATTTCCACAATTTTCGCCTTAGTTATTAGGCCACTCTGCCTCTAGCAGCCTGTGCAGCTCGTATTGTGATTTAGAAGCGAACATTATACAAAATTACGAGGCTAACAAGATAAATGTATAAAAAAATACTTAACGGTTTAAAACGCGGCGTTTCGGAAGTTTTAAAGTTTATAATTAAAGGTTTATAATATCACGGATTATGTAAAAATATAATTCGAGTTTAGTAAGTATGTACCAACTGATGACAAAATCGTAAACAAAATGAAGTAATTAAACTTTCGCATTTAATCCGTAAAAGGGTTTTCTTAATGCGTAAACTTTAATTTTTTATTATTCAATCAATTTTTCATCGTTTTATTAACAAAATTAAGTAATTCATATTTCGCGTTTTAAACCGTTGAAACACATTTTCAAGGCTCGATCATACCTTTCATATTACATATATCAATGAAACAATAACAGACGAGAAACCGTTACAATAGCGAATGGAAATTTTGAACAAACACATTAGCATCTTGCTCTAGTTAATAGGTGTGTTTATCTATCGCGGGCTTTCTTATTCGTGTCATTTCTAATTAATACTTATAAACAATTGCTAATTAGAGGTCATAAATCAACAAATATTGGTTAATATTGTCTCTTTACACTAATTAGGTAGATTACTTCTTATTGTTGTTTATAACAGAGCGAGACAGACAAGTTCACTTGATCGGTAAATAACCCAGCAATAGAACATCGCAACAATTTCGGATATACGCGTCATTTCGTACCTATTCCTTCCATCCATTGAACGCCAGATTAATAACCATATTTCCAAACATAGTCCAACTGTCCAACAGTAAAATTATAAATGAAGAACGGAAACGTGTTGGATCCGATGGGTATCAAATAAACGACTTGTTGATTATTAGACATACATAAAATTAAATTAAAATAGTGTTTGATTTGTTCATTCATATATTTCAGATTAGTTATGTTAGGGATAAATAAAGTGCTTGTTTTTCTGTACGTTACCCAGACAACATCGAACGAGATTTTAACTATCATTATTAGTTTAGTAATTTTTTTATACGAACAAATAGTATCAAAACTTGTCGAACGTTGTACGTTGTGACTGAATGTCCTAGATTCGAATCCCGGAAAAAAATCTTTAGGTCGGGGATTAATCAAAGTCTGATTAACTACTTGGCTGTAAATAAAAACGGACCAGTGAAACGGACACAGAAATGTGTTCGGCCCATGCCCCACGAGGAACGCGGGAATTCACTTTTATACAAACAAAAGTTAGACACAAGTAGAACCGATGCAAATATGCGCATACGCATACTTACAATGTTTTTGTTGTAGTGGGAGTGAGATAGATATATTTTATCCGTTTCAACTCATATTCGATTAATGTAGCACAGCCGCCATATTACATATCGTGGCGGATTTCTTAAGTGTTCTAGTTGTAATAGGTTGAAGATTTTGAATTATTCGTTTGTTAAACTTATATGATAATTATTTTAACTACGGCCGATCGTTTCGGATGCTTAGCAGCAGTCGTGGTCACGTGGTCGCGTTTTAATTAAATGTGTACTACTCGCGTAAACTACAGACAGTCTTTTATTCGTTTGTTTCAAATCTCTATGCACTCTTCAAAGTATTTAACGTATGTACGTTAGATGAAGAGTTAGTTACGCTTAACATTTATGCTTGGTATATTGTAGGTATCGCGGGCTCACGGGAGAAGCCAAAGTATGGCTAATAATCGGGTCGTGGGTTCGATCTCCGCTGGATCCAACATTTCTCTAATTCAATAGATCAACAGATGTAAAAGCCGCGAAGTTTATTCGCGTTTCGTTTTCAGTCTGTGGGTCTCCGATTATCCAAAGTCAATTAGGTCGCGCATCTTGTTTAGATGTTATATTATGTTATTAAAAAGATATATGAAAAATATACTAGTTTACGCGAGCAATAAGAAGTTTGTTACTCGGGTAATCCTTGTTTTCCAATGTGGGAATGGAGGACGACATTTCCTTTTTCACACACTTGCCTTTTTCTAGGATTTTCCCAACAATCTGTCGTTGAGTACAAAGCGCAGGCGCATTTAAAATTTTAAGTAATTAAAGAGTTTATAAAAGTGTAATTTAGTTTTCTTAGTTTCTTCTTTCAATTCAAAAATTAAAGGTGTTATCCCCTTAAATAATTATACTAATAGCGAAAACCAATCCAACAAAACAAAACAAAAAATCAAATACATTATCCATAGAGACTAATGTTTCTTTTAAATATTTTTCTAAAACATAAGTTACATCTCTATCATTTGTCTATACATATATTTTATAGATACTCTGTTTATTGGAAATTTTAAATAAAAAAAAATCTTCACAGCTGTTCAGAACGAGAGGGACAGAATTAACTGTAGGAGACCTTCATACGAGGAACCAGCACAAGCCAACGGACTGTCGGTGGTGTCCCTGCTCAATGCAGAACTGCTTAGCCGAAAAGTCACAGATGAGGTACGTTCTACATCCATTTTATAAAAGCACTTTTTAACGGTTTAAAATGCGTTAAATTAAGTACTGTCTGTGATTTAAATATAACACTTTTCATTAAAACGTTGACGCTTATTTTGACATTAAGGACGCCCGCCATTTTCAGTCAGCTCATGACCACGGCTGCTGCAAAGCATCCGAACGGTCGGGGGGTAGTTAAAATAATTTGTAAATAAGTTTAATTAATACATATTATATTTTAAATCATTTAAAGTATAATGAATAGCGTGACAGGGCATCTTTTAACCTTCTGATCTTCTTTCCTTTTTCTTGAATCTGAATACATATTTTCCTACCATAGAAAATTGTTTCTCACTCCTGACATAACTAGGTGCTAAAAAAACTATTTTAGCATCAGAATAATAATAATTAAAACTGTGATTACGATAAAAATTTAAATCATTTAATATACATAAAATTGCATATGAGTCACCTACTTATTCTTTTGCATAGTGACATAGTGACTAGATACAAGGAACACGATGTTCTTTATCTCACCTGGTACAATAAAAATAGGCATAGATAAAAATATACTTGTCTCACTGTGTGTCATAAGACAAAGGCAATATAAATTTCCTACTATTATTTTTGGCGCAAATCGTAGACAAACACACGGATACAAAATGCTCTCGGTAAGCGTACAAGACAGACTCTAACAAAGATGCCTAGAAGTACAGACTCATTCATAAAAAAAACAATCTATCCGACACAAACATGCCTATATTTTTTCAATTCGAACCAGTAGTTCCTGAGATGAGCGCGTTTAATCAAACAAACAAACAAACTCTTCAGCTTTATAATATTCGTTTAGATAATGTTAGAATAATGAAGTTGTTTCTATACTAATACAATTATAATTGTTGTCCAGCTGTTTTTTGCTTTAAAATTCACGTCGTTCTTGCCTAATCGTAAAGCAACACATTTATCGATGAAATCTTTTAAAAGAAGGCAGCTTGCTTGATAGTCTTCCGCTATCTCATTCAAAGGTCTGGATTTACGTCAGTTCAGATTCGTAAACACGAAATTAGTACATGATATGTCCTATCGCAAAAATGGTATTAAAATTATATGAAAGACAATGGCTCATGTAACTTCTTCTTTACATGCAAGCTACGTATTGTCTGTAGCTTACGCGTGTAGTACACATTACAATAAAATACTTTTATCGGTTTAAAACGCGTAAAACATTCGTTTACTTATTTACTATTTATTTTGCTGCAGTGATCAAGATGGAGGGTATCTCTAATGGCAAAGTCAAATCTGCTACGCTAGCGCCATCTGCCTCGTCTTAGTGGGTATTTGGAGAAACTGGTTCTTACAGACCTACTCGTAACTGCCGTTCCTCACGATGGCGCTAGTGTAGCAAATTAAAATTATACAATAGGGACACGGCTGCTGCAAAGAATCCGCAACGTCTAGCCGTAGATAAATTAATTGTATATAAGTTAACGTTTTAAACCATCAAAAATGATATTTCAAAATCTATTGAAGCTATAAAAATGCCAGTCATTATGTATTATCTGTAAAGCCTCTTTACAAAGTTATTAAAGACGATAAACCCTTGTCGTTTGGCGTTAGGCATTTTGTATCATCACTATTTAAACTCAATATTCAAAGCTATAATGTAACAAATTCTTTTAAAATATTTCGTTAGTAGCAAAATATCGTTCTACGCTTACGATAAGTAAAAGATATAACCGTCCTCAATTTGAAATTTACAGCGATTTCGTTAGACTGTATAAAATCTGTGATAAACAGGAATTAACGAGATAACAAAATGTTTTATTTTTACACAAGGCCTGTCCTGGTGACAAGATTATCGCGCTGTTGCTGACTTGTGCGAATAACTCTTTAATTTATTGTTGGTAATTAATAATTAGATTATTTCTTATAAGCTATATTAATCTAATCGTTTCTTACAAAAACAATACGGGCTTGTTGGTTTAAGAATATTTTTTTTGTATGCTAAAAAAGGTCAGGAACAATTGAGGTTCCCTTGATTGTAAGTGAAATTTCCCAGCCATATAACATTTGAAACGCGATTAAACGTACTTCTACCACCCATTTAATATGGGGCCGTTCAAGTATTACGTAAGCAGATTTATTACAATTATTTACCCCCCCCCCCATCCCCCTTGTCAGCAAAAGTAAGCAAAGCTTTTACCCCCTCCCCCCGTGCTTACGTAAACATTTTTCAATTAAAAATGTGGTGGTTGCCATTCGTGTAAAAAAGTAAATAAATATCGATGACGTAATCATCATCTGGACTCCCCTACCCCCCATGTCATCAAAAATAAGCAAAACACAGACCCCCCCCATAGTGTTTACGTAATACTTGAACGATCCCTATCCAGATTTCCAGACAAAGTCCGACGTGATACAGAAAAATTATAAATTTATGATAGTAGGGATCGAACCTGCGGCCCGTTTATTTCTAGACATTGCTATCTTTAGACCAACGGGCCTGTGAAAATGCAACTAAGATCAACTTATAACGAGGTAAATTAATTTACCCGCAATACACAACTGGTGTATAGTTCACAGTTCCTACATCTATACCTACAATGTATACAAAACACATAATAATAAATCTCTCAACAGACCAACAACATAACAGACGCGGAGATCAGCAACCGTAACTTGGCGAAAATCAACGATGTGTGCGACTCCATCAAACAACAGCTTCTTATTCTTGTTGAGTGGGCGAAATATATACCAGCCTTCACAGAGTTGCATCTTGACGACCAGGTAACTTCTATGTTTATTCTTTTATCTAATCACCAACACGAGTACTAATCACCAAAAGAGTACTAATCTACAAAATGAGTACTAATCACCAAAATGAGTACTAATCACCAAAGTGAGTACTAATCGCCATAACTAATGACCGAGCAGGAGGAGTAAGTATGTTTCATTTATTTTTTACTTTATAGTATTATTGATTTACTAAGCAGATTGTGTAATGTATAAAACTGTATCTACATTTTTAATTAGAAGCGTCCTGCTTTTATAATTATCAATACGTAGTCACTTGTTTCTTTAATTAATTGTACTCAGGCTAGATTTACATGCAAAAAATAGTTCTAGTACCAAAATATTTTCCAATTACAATTAACATTCTTTTTTTTTCAATAATATTTTTTTTAAACCAAAATGGTTTTACAACACGGAATTTGAAAAATCTTTAGTAGTGGCCACAGTCATCTTCACTCAAATACGGCTCTACATGTTCTTACTATATTCTATGGTAAATATGATTGTAAACCATGTCTTGAATGTTTGCCTGTAGGTGGCGTTATTACGTGCTCACGCTGGCGAACACCTCCTTTTGGGATGCGCGCGGCGGTCCCTCCACCTCAAGGACGTCCTTCTATTGGGGAATAATTGTATCATCACGAAACATAATTTAGGTATGTTCATAAATTAAACGATATATATCTGATAGCTATATTGTAACAAAACTATAGAAATTGCCTATAAGATAATCAAAACACATACAGGTCTTTTTTTATATGTTGTTTTAATTTTTATTTGTGTTTTAACATTGCTTCTACCGTTTAGTTTTAACTTTTTAAATCATTTGGCATAAGATTAATACATATTAAAATAAATACAGGTTTCTCGTCGTTTGGTTATTTTTTATTATTGATTGATTGATTTAGATAGAAAAATATCATCGATGACATATAATCTGCGATACTGTCAGGGCTTCGAACCTACGCTACTAATCGAACTACTTTTGAGTAGTCTTTATGAATGTAATCTATCTAACGTTAAATAGATTTTTACATTATTTACAACTAAAATTTGTATTACCGTGTCTGTAGCTAAATTATAAGCGTGATCCCTAGGAATCCCGGGGAAACAATAGATGCTTTCAGTCGGGCAAGACACATATCTGATCAACTACTTACCTTTGATTAAAACCTATTAGCGTAACTGGGGCATGCCTCCCGGGGAACGTGGATTTTATTTAAATGTTTAACAAATGTGAAAATAAACATGTTTTACCTCTATATGACATAAAATCGATTATTTTTTGGACAACAAGACTTAAACCGGCATGCATCCATAGCGTTCCGTGCTTTTTCTCAAAACAATTTATAATAAATTTTCAATTCATACAGTGCGTGCCATCGCGTGCAATAATAGCTGATGTGAAAAATACTAAAGTTTTCAAATGTAGGCTCGCTAAATGTTCCAATCGAAATTTCAAGAACTCTGGTTTGACAGATGGTCGGATGGACGTGGACATCAGCATGATCGGGATGCGGGTCATGGACGAGATCGTGAAACCCCTCAGAGAGATTGACATCGATGACACAGAGTTCGCCTGTCTCAAAGCTATCGTCTTCTTTGACCCTAGTAAGTAAATCTAGGATCCAGTGCAAGCGAAAAGTGATGGATACAAATCCCGAGTCGAGTATGTACTCTGAAGGTTATCACACACCAGAGGCTTAAACTTATTAGTTGTAAACATAAAATGTTTTCGTTTGCACATATCCCATTATAGGTATGGTATACTGTTCTCTCGAGTGTTTCTGATAAACTACTAATAATGTTATTATATTTTTCTAAATATGTTTTTGGCTTTCGTATTATGTGTTAACACAAAATTAGAGAAAACTTGTGTAATATGGCGACAAAGCAAGTCTCCAGTATTTTTTTATTTAGCACTGGTTTTATAAACATTAGTATAAATAGTTAAGATAGAAATGGGGTTATAATAAAAATATTACTATTTACGTGAACCAAATTGACATATATTCTGATAGATATATCTTTAAATTACCTATTGCCTTACGTTAAAAGAATAATCACTTAAATAAAACACTTTAATGGTTTCAGACGCGAAATATCTCAGTTAAACTTATTTTATTTATTTATTATTTATTTACGATTAATTTTACCTGCGGCCGACGTTACGGATGCTTTGCAGCAGCCAGGATCACGGGGAGACTAAAGACGGGACGGTGTTTTTATTATCAAAGTGAAAACGCGTTTTAAACCGTCAAGCGTTATATCCAAACGTGTGCTACTCGCGTAAACTACAAACTACTTAAGAATAAATGTATATATCTATTTGCAGATGCCAAAGGCCTCTCGCAGCCGCACAAGATAAAGCAGCTGAGGTATCAAATCCAGATAAACCTGGAGGACTACATCAGTGACCGGCAGTACGAGGGCAGAGGTCGCTTCGGCGAGCTGCTCCTCTGCCTTCCTCCTCTGCAGAGCATCACCTGGCAAATGATCGAGCAGATACAGTTTGCTAAATTGTTTGGTGTTGCACATGTCGACAGCTTGCTGCAGGAGATGCTACTTGGAGGTACAAAACCCCCCCTCCCAGAAATATATATATTAGTATTATTCATTCGTCATAAGGAACTATTGGGTATATATAAGGTGCTTCAAATTGTTAGCACTCATGACATTCATAGTAAAAAATGAAATTCCGTTGCTCCCCGTAGGACATGGGCTGAATACATGTCAGAGTCAGTTTCCTGATTGGTTAAAGAACCAAACCTAGCCGACAAAACCTTTGATTCAGGGTAATAAAAACCAAGACCTCTCGCGCATCACCCAAGGCAAGGGGTTAAACATTTACCTACAGAGGCTTCCACATCAGACAACATCCAAAAATAAGCCACCTTATAAATGGTTCAAGTGCATTAACGATCATTGTGTTTGTCACAGGTGCATCAACTGAAACGGCTGTAGAGGAACCCCAGGCCGAAATCGTCGAAGCGTCATCCCCCCTCTCTTCGGCCGCATCACCCCCCCTCGTGCCGCAGCTGCCTATACCCGAGCCCTTCATAGGGGCCCCCTTCAAGCAAGAACCCACCATGTAGAATTATGATTTAGGGATATGGATATGAATTCACGATCGAAATGGGTCTATAAAGTTTAAAAACATATATTTCCCTGTCTGAAAACAGTGGAGCGTGGATTGTGTGGACTAATTGATTGGGGGGGGGGGGGTAATAATAGATTAGTAATCGTTTGCACTACTGACTGTATTTTAAAATAATTCGTTTAAAATTTCAAGCATTGCTTCCCGTTGTCCACACTCTACTGCAAAGTATTAGTAGAAAAAAAAATTGTATATAAAATGTTAGATCTCATCTAGACCTATGCTATTCCATACATACCTTTTAAGATTTTTTTATTTCATATCCATATCCTAAAAATGTACTCATGCAAATGTGAGGTCGACAAAAAATGCCATTAAAACGAATTACTTGTCTCGTATACCGATGCGGAGGCGCTATATAAAAAAAAAACTTGCACTAAGATGTACAAATGTATATATAATCTCATTGCTTAACAATGTCTTCGATAGAGTGCCTTAAAGTAATTTATGAACCAAAGTTAACTAAAATTATATTAGATATTTAAAGAATCGTGTATATTTACTATTTTGTATACAAATGTTATTTATACGGTGTAATGTTCAAACTTTGGTATATTAGTTTTATAGTCGGTTATGTGTTAAATATATTTCAATGAAATGTATAGAGTATATACGATATAACTCAGCTTGTATACGTCTGGTGCTACACGTTTTATACTGTAATAACAATAAATGAATTGAGCAAGTAACACTGTGTTTTATCGAATTCGTAATCTACAATTTTACACAGTATACAGCAATCAGTTATAAAAGAAGAAATGCTTTGAAAGGGCCAATAAAATTCAATAATTAAAAGCGAAAATTATATAATTGTTGCTCAAGCGATGTAGACAAGTATTTGATAGTGAGTCATATTTATCACGATAAGATTAGCTGATAAAATTGTTTTTAGTATTTATATAGGACTAGACTGACACATTTAGTTTTAAACATTTTGCTCAATTATCCGTTGGTAATGGTTATTGTAAACCGGTGTAATAGGGTCTTGTGGACCTAAAAAAAATATCCTTATAAGCTCTGTTAGGTTTTATTATTGTAAATGTTGAGTATATAAAATAAACAATAGTGATTCGTTTCTACGCAGTTTTATTTAGAATCCCTTATGTTCATGGCTTTTCCTTCACGTCGATGTAGCCCTTTCTTCTCTCGATTCTGGTCTTGCAGTACAAATATATAACGGAAATTGCAGACACTGTTGACATGGCTAGCAGAGGTAGATAAATCGAAAACATTTAAGTTAATAATTATATCTATAAAATGTTTTCCAATTAGTAAAGCAAATATTATTCTTTCCTATGACGTCTCTTTATTTGCACGACTTGGATACGTCAATCGTTTTTTTCAGATTAATAAAAGAGTTTATATTTGCCTTAATCTCTTTCTTATTTGCTTCAAAGAAATAACGTATCTATATAAATTGAACATTTATTTTTTCTGTCGTGGCTTCATGTCCCGGCTTGGTCTTTAAGTTTCTGATGTGGAAACTAGTTTAGCGTCGTTAGTTTTTAACGGGTAAGAAATGTTACACTCTCGGCAGGACACAATATTTGATCGAAAATCCGTGAGAGAGGCGGACAGTAAAAATTGTCATGTTTGAGTACAACTGCCCCGAAGACGACATCAGAAAAGCAATAGACACTGACGACGCGATTCGCCTGCGCCGAACAACTTTCGACTTCGAAGGTCGGTCCCTTGATCCGCGTATCTCTTACTTGAGCATCCATGTAGCCCAAGCTAGTCTAGTTCAAGCTTCGACCCACATTGCGGTGTACCCGTATATATGGTTAGTATTAGTAAACAATCAATGATAGCACAATAAATAAATACTATATTTAACCATGCATATGTTAGTAATTTATATTGATTCGATACGAAATTATTCCCTGAGTTTAATTCAATAGGATAAAGAAATTATTATATAAATTGAGAAATATTGCGTCTCGGTCGCTTTTGGTCGAAGAGTTTATAATGTTATAAAACTACAACATTTAGATAGCATTATCTTTGTCAAAGTAAAAATAAAGTTTAAAAATATATAATCTTTATTTATCATTCAACAATACAGATAACAACAATAATTACAAAATTGAGATTCAAGAAACTTGTGCAAATGCAACGCTACATAATATAATAAAAAAATGTCATCTTAATAAAAAAGATTAAAGTTTTGACATTATTAAATTGTACTTACTATTACTAATTATCAGCCCCCGCTTAGATCACGTAAAATATGTATATGTCCGTATATATATTTTTTGGACAACGTTTTTGCAGACCATGCATTAATACATCTTCATTTATAATTCACATCATTAAGTGTACATTATATGTTATTTATAATTTCACAAAACTAAAATCTTTACCGAGACTTTTAACCAAATGTCATTAGCCAGAGGTCGCGGTAACAGTTAGCCAATAATTGAGGATGATGGGGGCAGTGTAGCCTTTACTGCAATTTCATGACTATAAAATAACACAAATAATAGTACAAGTTCAATTTCACCTAGCTAATTGCGTTTTTTAAATTTTATTTTATTGAAAATCTTGTTTTTTGTAATTAGGCCACTCTGCCTCTAGCAGCCTCGATTCACACCTAAAAATCATATAAGTAGTCAGCCATTCTCATAATGTAGATTTTCCAAAAAGTCATGGTATGTATTATATCAAACAGAGCACTACAAATTTTATTATTTATTTATTTATTTACAAAAATTCCTACCTTAACAGGTTAAACCTAATACGATAGAAAAAAAAAATACAAATACATTTAAATATTAATAATTACATATTATATATGAAGCTACTTTTATGAATTCACCCAGGGAGCAGTGAAATATATCTATAGCCCGATCTGTAGCGTTAAGAATCCTAAGTGCACGCGTCAACGTCGCCTCAGCTAACAAGTTAGTGCGCGCACGAGGAACCACCAGCAATTGCGGACGCTTTCTACGGCTTATATATTCATTTGGCACATATAATGTTAGACGTCCCAAGATATCCGCGTTATGTACCTTTCCTGCCAAAATTTTGACCAAGTACGTTACGAAAGCCAGGTCCCTTCTAACACTGAGCTGATTATATCCCACCATGCCCAAAACAAAGAGTGTGGGATACATGAGCGGGTAAAAAGGATACACGCCATACAGTCTCATATATAAGTAACGAGTAAATTTATTCTGTACTCTTTCCAACATGAGATTGTACTTCGTCTGATATGGGGCCCAGATAATGGCATTTGCTTCAAGGTGGCTTCTGACTAGGGCATTATATAAAACAATAACCGCCTTGACATTGGACAATCCCCAGGCCATCCGAAGAACAAAACCTAGATTTCTGTAGGCTTTCATACAAATTTTGCTAATATGACTGTGGAAATTTAGATCATTTTTGAAGTGTACCCCCAAGTCTTTCACTTCAGTTAATCGGATTAGAGGTATCCCATCCACATGATAATCGTACATGATCGGCCTGTGAGTTCTAGAGAAAGTGATCGTATTGCATTTTGATGCGTTAAATTGCAAAAAATTACACTTACTCCAAGCCACAACCCGATCAATATCTCTTAGCATTTCTTCACAGTCTTTATTAGTTTTAATAGACATATATAGTTTCATGTCGTCAGCGAAGAGAAGACATTTAGCGTTGTGAACGACTGCAGGTAAATCATTTAGCATTATCGTGAACTGCAACGGCCCTAAATTGCTTCCTTGCACTACTCCCGAATTAGTGATATATGGCTTAGAACTATGCCCCATATACTCCACATATTGCTGCCTTTCGGACAAATAGCTTACAAAAAAGCTCAGGAAGTGCGGTGTTAATCCCACCCTTGCCAATTTTGTTAATAGGACATCGTGGTCCACCAAATCAAAAGCTTTTTTTACGTCAAAATATGCACTATCTACTTGGCCCCTATTGTCAAGTTCTGGTACTATATCTGCCACATAACTTAGGAGATTGCTCGTGGTGCTGCGACCTGGTCGAAATCCGTGTTGTGCCTCAGATAGGTATGGAGTAACCTGTGCCAAAAAGCTTCGCTGAACTGCTGATTCGAATACTTTGGCTGGCGCTGATAGTATAGCTATAGGTCTATAGCCCTCTGCAGTATCAACGTCCCTACCTTTGGGAATGGGAATCACTCGACTAATTTTCCATCTATTAGGAAACGTTGCATATTTTAAACTCAGATTATAAATATGCAACAGCGGATCCGCCAGTACTTCCCGACAGTCTCTAATTATAAAGGGGGGTACCATATCTGGCCCAATAGATTTTTTAGATTTAAGTCGCCGCAGCGCATATCGTACCTCACTTAACTTCAGCTGAGGTATCTCTATTCTGGCCGCTTCATTTCCAACACCAGCACCTGTAATTGCATCTTGAAGACTGAGTTTAGGTTTTTTAGGGCTATACACGGATTCAAAAAAGGACGCAAATTCATTTACGCTTTGCTCTGCTGTTAATTCTTCTCCGTTTTTTCGGAGACCTATAGACTTGCGATCTTTCCTGCTACTATTTACGAACTTCCAGAATGATTTAGGATCATCGATCAAATTAGCCTGTAGACGATCGCGGTAAGAATTCAGTGCTAAGCTAATTGCTTTTTTTACTTCCGCCCTACAATCACTAAACTCTTTGTATGCTTTTACAGACTTGCTCTTTTTGTACTGCTTATGCAGTAATGCCTTCCGTTTTATTTTATGAATAATATCTGCGTTAAACCACTCTGGATACGAATATTCAGAGCGGACCCTGCTCGGTTTTTTTCGGGGTACACATTCATCAAATATTGAATATATTACGTTATAAAAATAGTCTAAGCACACATTAAGATCAGAACCGTAAACAAAAGACCAGTCTACTTCAAATATTTTTGAGTACAAAGCATTAAAATCTGCCTTATTAAAGTTCCAACCCGAAAAAGCACAGTGCGTAGGTTTCGCACAGTCAGTAAACCTATCCGTGGTACGACGAGCAGGCGGGCGCAGCGACACGAGCAGAGGGGGGTGATGCGCGTCTTCAGTCACCAGCGGCTCGTTGGCCGCGCGCACCTCTATGTCGCGCAGCTCATTAACGCTTAATACCAAATCCAACTTGCGATTATTTACATTACACACGTTATTGCGCTGGGTGAATCCACAATAGTTCAAGAAATAATTGTTATAATAATCTAATACATTTAAGGGACATGAATACAAATTAAAATCTCCTATAACTAAAGTGTACCTATGTTTACAACAATGTTCCTCGATATACTTAAACAATAACATATATTCATTTGTATCACTATTCGGTGGTATATACACTACGCACATTGATAACAAAAACCTATTTTTCAAATAAACATTAGCACAAACGAGTTCGAAAGATCGCATTGCAATGTCCAATTCGTCCGGTAGCGGTACTCGTTGCAGTTTCAAGTGCGGCGTGGCCACGAGACAGGCGCCTCCCAGCTTACGCCCGTCGGAGCGATCGCAGCGGATCACTGTATAACCCGTAGGGATAAGTTCCGCGTCTGCGATGGACTCCGTGCATCCCGTTTCTGTTATCGCGAATAAATCGGCCTCTGAAGACACCACACTTATATAGAAGTCTTGCAATTTTGTCCTCAGCCAAATGATAACCTTTATCTTTAGGATATAAATCAATGCTATCAAAACATCAAATGTAATATAATAGTAAAAATTTTGAACATAATCGTGTAAAAAAAAACAAAAAGATTAAACAATGCCGGATGCCGGTTCTAGCCCTGCACGTGACGTATTTAAAAAAAATCTGAAACCGATTTAACTACACATTTAAATAAAACACTTCAACGGTTTAAAACGTGATGTATAACAGTAAAAATTATTTTACTCGGATGCTTTGGAGCAGCCGTGGTCTTGAGGAGACTAAAGATGGCGGGTGCCTCTGACGTTAAAGTAAAACACTGCTACGCTAGCGTCATCGGCTCTTTAGAAGTTGGTATTTCGCAAAACTGGCCGGGCTAGGCCGGGTAGTTAAAATAATTTTTAAATAAATACCGTCTATAGTTTACGCAAGTAGTAAACATTTAAATAAAACACTAACGGTTCATAACGCGGTATATATGCTTTGCATCCAAAACGTCGCGCCGAAGTTAAAAATAACGTTCAAATAAGTTTAACTAATATATCGCGTTTTAAACTTTTAAAGTGTTTTATTTAAATTTTCAAATAAATCTAACTAATATATGACGCGTTTTAAACCGTTAAAGTGTTTTATTTAAATTTAAACTTCAGTTTTATTTCTAGAACCATTCGCCATCGTGTTGGTCCCGATGTAGCAGAACTCCGTATCAATATTATTCATTTCGAGATATTTCATCCATTGCAATTGCTTTATTGACGGCTTGTCTTTATCCGTTTTTACTTCAACGAATATAATCTGTAAAAGTAAGCTATTTACATAATATAACGTAACAAAAAACATAACCTATTTAATTCTTCCGTTGTACAAAAAACATTAATAAATATTACAATTTCTACAGCTTTGACGGTAGCTAAGTTTAGCTAATAATAAACAAGTCGTGGGTTCTTTTCTGAAACATGTTGGACTTCGTCTGGAAATCTGGATATGATATGGGTGGCAGCAATAGCCGTAAAAATCAATCGCGTTTCGCTGTCAGAATGTGGATTTCCGAATATCCAAAGCCATAAATAGATCGACAGCGAATCTCTTTTAGATGTTACACGGTTGGGTATTTCATTTACAATCAAGTCCACTCCATGCTTCCTCTATGATAAATACCTTTACATTAAATTATTGAAATAGTAAGATTTTTTTTTATATCCAAAGCTTATCCATTATACTTGTTACAAACAAACGACTCTATATTACTTTATATTCTAAATAAATCTCAACAAGTAAGAAATGGCTGAATATACAGTGCATTATTAAGCATAAATCATGGTAACACTGCAAGGCAAAGTGTGGCCTGATCACCCGGCTTATAGGTTCCCGATAGAAAATAATATTTTTTGGACTGACCTGTTTAGTGTGCGGGTTCCACAATGTGAGATCGGGGAATCCGCTGTGGCTGTAACGATAGTCTAAAGCGAGTCGTCGACAGATGGCGGCTAAAGCGTAACTGCCAAGACATTTGGTAACTACTTCAACATTTTCCCAGCTAATTTTACTACGCTGTATATCCGATATTTCACCTATAAAATTATTTGTAACAAAAAATTGCTCAAAGTTTCTTAAACAACTTCGTCTTACACTGAATTGTAATGGAAGAATACAGTACAGAATAACTTAATTTGAAATAATAGTTGCGGTACGCAAAATGTTTGTTGCTCTATAATATCTGTAGTTTACACTAATGGTACACATTTAAATAAAACACTTTAACAGTTTATTACGCGATATATATCAGTTAACATTTAAAAAAAGCTGCAAAGCAACCGGAACGTCTGGCCGTAGTCAATATAATTTCCAAATATATAACTAATCTATACCGCGTTTTAAACCGTTAAAGTGTTTAATTTAAATGTAATTGTTCTATATTGTCTTTTTCTTATTTGCTCGGATCTCGATCGTTATATTTGCAAAAAAATATTGGCCCTTTCCTTCTATTTGACACTTTACCTCCGCCCCCCTTAACATCAATTAAAACCAGTTAGTTCTCGCGAACCATTTTATATTTTATGTATTGAACCAAAAGAACACAATCGTGTTGTGCTAAGACACATTTGACCTACATTGTTCTCTTAAAACGACATAGTCCCAACAGTGGGAAGATAAACGTTACTTACATTCCGGCCTCGAGTCCCACGTGCTTTTCATAGATGCGACTAGATCGTCAACACCAGTTTGTTCTATATGAGTTAGGCGATCGTCTATCAGGTACCGTCGGTTGGCGTAGAAGCTCTCTGTGAACATATCCAGGGGGTATTTCTGGAACCGTGTGAGGAAAATGCCGCGGACGCTTCTTAGCTCTGTGTATATTACATCCCAAAAGAGCAGGGCAAACAGCGTTCTTATCATAGTACTCTCCCAGTGCTCGCCTGAAACCAAAATACATCTGCAGTATTGGTAATCAGTCATGATCATCGTGAAAACTAGGAATAAAACCACCAACCAACCTTGGTGACCTGTCTTTATACAATAAAAAAACATACCATGCGTATATTTCCCCTGTTCAATGTAATGATATTTACAGAACTCCTCTACATCCATTACCATAAGACTCTGAGGCAGTCGAACCTCAAATTTTATTTTTCCTCTTCCGAGGGATCTGAAATTTGAAAAAAATAAATAAAACTGACCTCACTATCTTAAATATAACTACGCAAAGATCTTTTTCCTAAGTAAAATCATTAAGCACGTTTCCTCAAAAGTCTCACTTTTAATTATATAAAAAAAAGTGAATATTATGCTAATATATATTTTGTAAATGTTTTTGTTTAATAATTGCTATTACATTTATATAACAATACGTACAACACTTTATGAAATTTCACAATTAAATGCAACACGTTAACGGTTTAAAACGCGAGATTATTTCTCATTTGAAACAGACAGTACGAAGTTTTAAAAATTTCTCCGCTTTGAACTTAAGACCTCTAGCAACAAACGCAACCCTAAATCAGTTGTCTACTATCTCTAGAGTCTTTATATACAAAATGAAGTAGACAAGTGCGAAATAAAGTGTAAATTACTCTTTTGGTTGCTTGTGTACGTGGATCGCTTTTATAGTTCTTTCCATAGGACCACTATGTACAAACGTAGAAAGCACAGAACATAGTTTCTCAGTTGGCCTATTCGTGACCCGTTTCACGAGTTTGCGCGCGCGCACTCGTAAGCAATCCATTTCGCTATCCTTGAGATCTAACTTGAAACCTTCTATTAGTGTTTCAGCCGCCTGAAAAACAACAAATTAGTATATGTATGTGTGTGTAACATTGCGTTAAGCGTGAAAAGTAGGTTTCGGCCGGACTGGGCACAGTTAAAAAAAGTATGTTTGCCTTACGCGACAATTGGTAATAAATATAAATACACTACATTAATTGTTTTGATAACTGTAGGAACAGTAAGAATAAATCAATTATAAACGACCAAACAATATGTATTTACAATTTCTAATAACTTACAAGGCGCTAAGCAAATACAATTTGAAAGATAACATTTAAATTTAAAAATAATTTTAAGCGACTAATCCTCAATTCAATACGTATAGGTTTTTTTGTGTTTGTTTGCACTTTCAATTTCATCGTTTATCAACCGATATAGCTGATGTTTTTGTTAGAAACTTTTTTACAACGTCCCATTTAAAGAAATCAATTACAAAGCAGCGCAGAAGAACTTTAAAAAATCGTTAAAATGACTAGTGCTTTTCAGTACTTGACAATACTACATAAGTTTAAACTTTGGAGAAGGACTGATGATGGCGTCACAAAACAAATCGAGACGACTTTTATAGTCGTAGAAACGATTAGTGCGTTTGTTTGCATGAACTTATCATTCAGAACTTATAATTACTACATAACCTTGTGTTCCACTCATATCTATACTAATATATAAAGCTAAAGAGTTTGTTTGTTTTTGTTGTATGTTTGAACGCGCTAATCTCAGGAACTACTGGTTTGAGTTAAAAAAAACCTTTAGTTTTGATTAGGAAAGCTATAAGCTATAAAAACATTGTGCTGAGATTAATAGGAGCAAAGAAACAGCGAGGAATGTGGGAAAAATCAGGTAAAATTTTTCATCTTTGTGGGTGTTTAAGATACCCAAAATATATGTATGATAAAATGATTCCTTTTGAAGTTATCTAAAAATATGTTCGCGACAGGGTATGTCTTTCAAGATTCATTTGTAAAAACAACGGGACGCGGACGACATCGCTGCTAACAGTTAAAAGTTGAAAATGTGAGAAGGAGGTATGCATAAAGAAAATGATGTCCAAAATAACGTTTTTACATGCGGACGAAGTCGCAGGCACAACTAGTTACTTGTATAGTAAGAACCTTACACCTAGATTAGGGGTCTCATGATGAAGATGTCTCTCATTTTAGGCATTTCCTCAATTTACAAGGTCACTAACCTTATTAGTGTCCCCAAGAAGAGTTTCATAAATAAGCGCGATCTCATCATACCACTCTACTTTCTTGTGCTGTCGGAAGGCATCCTGGGTTATCAACATGCTAAATACATCTAAAGCCAGCTGACAGCACTTCTCCTTCTCCGGTGGTTTCTTTAACTCAGGTATACCACTTTCTAATATCTTAACGTATATGTGGGCGGGTGTAAATCGACGCAACCAAACTGGCAGCGATTTATAACTGTAATTTTATTAAAATAGGTGTAGCTGAATTTTAGATAATATTTAAAATCTACATATATAAATACTACATAGTATAAAACAAAGTCGCTTTTTCTCTCGCTATATACGGTTGAATCAACAAGAGGACGGCTTTTATACAAACAGACACACACAGTTTTACTGTAGCGCATTTAGTATGAGCATTGCAACCGAGCGAACCCGGGCCGGGTCACTAGTTGATAATATATGGAAAACCTGTAATGTGTAGTGGAGTTTCGGTTCCAACATTCAAAGACAAAATAGTTTCACAGTATATCTTGTTTAAATGTTATATGGCCAGGCGTGCTTGTATGACCCCTTTAATAAAAAATACATAATATGTACTTAGATGTTTTATGGATTATTTGTGCTTTTTTTAATAAATCCTAACAATAAAACACTTTAACGGTTTAAAACGCGATACATTAGTTAAACTTATTTGAAAATGATTTTTAACTTCGGCCCGACGTTTCTGATGCTTTGCAGCAGCCATGGTCCCGGGGGGACTAAAGATGGAGGATGTCTCTGACGTCAAAGTAAAAATTGCTACGCTAGCGCCATCTGTTCCGTCGAAGTTGGTATTTGGCGAAACTGGCCGGTTCAGAAACGGTTGCCTAACGGTGTCTTCGCGTTCGCCGGTATGCTGTTTAATGGGATCCCAGGTGTTTGATAATTTGAGGTAGCCCTCCCTATTAATAATCTTAATCTCAATAACTTTAACTTATATAGCGCGTTTTAAACCGTTAAAGTGTTTTTTTTAATTACTAATATAACAAAAACGATTTTATAGTAGTAAAATATTTTAGAATTTACCTAGTCATATCGGATTTGCTGATATCTTGATATAGCGTATACACATTTTCCACAATTCTTCTTCGTTCCAGTGAATTGTCTGTGTTATAAAATTCATCATACACCATACTAGCTGTAATATATCTAAAAAAACATAACAAAGCATTGACAATGTACTCTTATATCCTTACATCAGATACAAATAAAGTTAGCAGATTGCAACAAGAAATACATTATTGAAAACAAGCTTAGCCCTCCCCCCTCTTTTACTTCTTAGGGGTAGAGTTCCAGAAAACAATATTTCAGATGCCTATGCCTAGAACAATTACATGTATTTTATGTTAGTTATAATCCATATATACCTTTCAAATTCATGTCTATCTTTGAAAACTACACTTGCGTTGTCTATAACTAGTTTCTCATCGACTGGGTAGGTCTCCCTTTTTGCCTTATCATAGATAAGTGTTAGCTCTAATTTCTTATCTGCTAAAATACTTCTATCAATCCCCAAATACATAAGAACATGTAATTCATCCAAGGTTTTTCGAGTGATTTTCTTCAGTTTGAAACATTCCCCACATTTTGAACGCAATCTGAAATTAGATAGGGGAATTATAATAAGGTACATAGAAACAAAACGGTGATGGGTCACAAGGTAGTAAGGAATATAGTCAAAGAGTTGTAATTTCCTATGACGCTGAGCAGATACAGAAGGTGGCATCAATATTCACGAGGTATAATACATACATACAATCTTTGGAGAAAACTTACGAATTGAGAACCCTATCAAGATTATCAGCTTGTCTCATGCCAAAATAATTGCCAATACTCTTCTGGTTACAAAAGTTAAGAAGACTCTGTCGTGCTGTGTCTTTGCTTGTAAATTTCAATTTAAATTCTTTGCATATCGCTTTCACATCGTTAACATTTAACATGTCATAATAGTCATCAAATTTTAAATTATTTTTACCTGCAAAGAGAAAGACATTATTTAACAATAATACTTTTAGCTTGATATTGATTTGAATTGAATATAAAATGAAATGCATTGATTATTTTATTATTTTGTATCAGAATATATATAGAAACCTCTCCGTGTCTATCTACATTAAAAGACATGTCTTGGATCAAACTGTATTGCCTGAACAAACCAATTTTAATATCCCAGGAATTGGAATGTATTTAACACGCATTGCTTAATTACATATTTAAATAAAAGCCGTGATCCATGGCTGCTGCAAAGCTACCAAAACGTCACGGCCACAGTCAAAATCATTTTTAAACAAGATTCACTAATATATATCGCGTTTTAAACCGTTAAAGTGTTCTATTCATATGTGTACTACTCATGTAAACTACAGACGGTATTTAATTTTATATTTTTATCTGTTATACAAATAGCAAAAAACTTACTATGACTGGCCGTAATCAAACCATTTTGTATTAAGGAATTGAGCATTTCTTTTAAAGCAAAATCATCCACAGACTGTTTATTTTCCTGAATAACTTTGGCTATTTTCTCCAGTTTGTACCATCCATCCTTCCGCCAATATAGTCGACAAATAACTATTAAGCCCGGCTTAACAAGGTTCATGCATTTTTGAAGAAGGTTCTGAGAGCTTTGTTCAAGCAATGGTTTTAATCTTGTGTTGTTTAGATACTGATGTATTATTCTTAAAAGAAAGATTGCTGAAATTAAAAGTGAGATAAGATTAGGTTTTTAGTGTATGTGCTAAACAAAAATAAAAAGTTCATTGTGCCTGTATTTCAGTCAGTTAAAGAAATAACTGACTGAAATACTTAGGTCTATAAGTGTCTGATAATTTAAACCTAGGACTTGACAAGAATTTAAGCAATGTTACGTTATTACTTAACTTTATTAATTAACTACAAATAAATTAAGCAAGAGCTACAGAGGCTAACAAAAGTTAAAATAATAGTTACTATTAAGAGCTTTACTTTTTTTAATAAATAAAAAACGAATTAACAGTTTAAAACGTGATATATATAAGTTAGTGTTTTATTTTTGCCATAATTAAAATTATTTTCAAATAAGTTAGTTATGTATATTACGTTTCAAACTGTTAAAGTGTTTTATTTAAACGTAAACTACAGACAGTATTTAACTTTACTTTTATCATCCAGTCCTTGACAGGCCTCAACAAAGTCCCGGTTTGGTGGATGATTCACTGAGTTATCACAAATAATTTTATTCAGATTCTTCCTGACTCTTTTAGGTGTACGAATGGTTAAGCTACGTTTTTTATTTGGTGAATAATACTTTTTCACAGGGCTTTTAGATGCACTGGAAGTAGTTGGTGATTGTTGTACAGGTGAATAAGTTATAGTTGTATCTGAGTCATTCATTTCATTTTTTACATCTAAACTATCCTCTTCATCACTTATTAAACTGATAACATCCTGATCATTAATTTTAGGTGTTTTAAATGGGGAAGGCTCTTTAAGAGCTGGAGTCAACCGTTTCTTTGGTGTTTCCATTTCGCACTTTACAGAAACTTGAATGTTCTCATCCCTTTCGAATATTAAAGTTTTGGAAACTTTACTTTTATAAAAATTGTCCATTTTCAACTGTCGAGGCATCTTGAATCAATCCTTTCACTCTTTCATTTATTTAATTTCATTGTACAGTGTACACTGTTTATCAAACTTTGCAATCATAAAATAATACTGTATTATGTATATACATAATACAATACAATGTATATTGTAAGTGAATGTTGCAATTTTAATTTACATGAGTCACTAAGAAATTTAATAAAATCAAAATTACAATTGATAAGTAGAATTAAAACCGCATTTAAAGATAACATTACTCAATAGTCATTCAAAATAACTATCATACAATATTACTATTTACTGATACTGTTATCAACAAAGTTTTTTTTTTTCTTCATTTGTGGCAAGAAGAACTAACTATTTGCCAGTGTCAAGTTAAAATCAACAAAGTTGTCAAAATGACCAAATATGACTAATATGACACTGACAATCGCTAAGTAACTGTCAACAAAATATCATAACAGATTATATATGTTGTATATGATAACAGACTCCATAATATATTCATGCAACCAAGAAAGGAAAAAAAATACCTATCAGTGCAAACTATTTTTAAGTTGAAAATTAGGTACCTATGTTATATATATCATAGAAGCACTTGTCAGAGAGTGAACTAATGGAAGACACGTCCTATAAATAAATACAATACGTTTAGATGTTGTTTAAGTTGTTAGTTAAGCAAGCAATGTCATACGCTTCAGTTTCGATTATTATTTATATTTTTTTCTACCAGTTAAACATCGGTAAAAATAAAATTGCAGAAAATAGGATTTTTTATTTATTTGTATCTGAATGTATTAAATATATTCAGCCCAATAGGGTGTACAATTTCAACACAAACACGTCAGTAACACTTAATTCTTAGCTTTAATAACATACAGGCATTTATTGAAAAATGGTCACAATTTTGATTGTAACTTTTGCACAAATGAAAAATTACAAGTTTTATTTAATAACAATATCAATCATCTACATACAATAAATGTTGTAAAATAAAGAAAGTAGCGTTACAGATAACATTACGGATTTAAAAAAATCGGGTATGCCATGAATGATAATTAATTATTATATTTAGTAACAACTAATATAATATAAATAACAATCAAGTTTACTAAGATCAAACATTAAACATATGAAATATTAATACATAAAGTATATCTTTAATACCTTATATATTACGATGGCTAGCAGACGAAATACAAAAGAATCATTGCGTACCATGAGCACCGGAATAAGACAACGAACTATAAGTGCCAAGCCTAGAATGGTAAATAGTAAAAAATCTGACAATTGTATAATTTAATTTATATGTATAGTTGAAAATATGTATGTAAATTTAAACATTTTCTATCAAAGACACCGATAGTCTGGGTGATCAGTCGTCCCCCATTTCCCCTTTGTGAAGGATATTTCCACCACTCAAACTTATTGTTTCTTTGAAATTTTGTATTATTTGTTCCGTCTTTAGTTAATATCCTTATATTGATCGCTGTTATTATCTTCTGCTACACGTACAAAATCTGTTCAATCTAACCAAGTGTTAAATTTATATACATTTTTTGTACACACCAAGACATTGAATATACAACTTTATCATTGGATTTCTGCTTTGTAAATAGCAGCGGTGCAAGACGTCCTGATTTTAAAAAGAAATTTTCATTACTTACGCAGAACCGTTTTTCGGAAATTACTGAAAATAATTTGCGACGGGTCAAGAGTTCGATCCCCGCTGTTTATTAATAATTAATTTATAATTTTTCATGAAAAACGTTGAACTTCGTCTGGAAAGCTGTCGGATTATCGAAATTCTGTCCGGGTCAACAACCACTACCCACAGATAAAAATCCATTAAGTTTAATCGCGTTTCGGTTCCACTCTGTGTATTTCCGTATATCCAAAGCCAAAATAGAACGCTATCGAAGTTCTTTTAAGATACAGCCTGAAAACAGCGAAATCTATATCACTAGGGTCCTGCTTTTAATTATTTTGATATCATAGCTACGCTGAATATCGATCAAACAAACGAGAATAATGTCTATCTCAAAGCCCAATAAACAGGTGAGAACTTATCAGCCAACGTACCAGTTGAAACCGCGGAAGCCTTTTTGCATTGAGGTTGTAGAAAAGATATTGAAGCGTATAGTTGACTCGGAGTTGGATGAAATCGAATACAGTGAGAAGGCGGTGCCAGATCTTTGCTCTAGTTTGGCTGAAAACATTCGCGGTGCCGTGAAAGAAGAAAATTACGATAGGTAATAGAACTAACATTAGAACTCATTGAAAGTATGCTTTTATTTACATACAGAGTTATAAAAATAAATAACCCACTGTAAAACATTCAAAAAACGAAACTTATTTTAAATTTACGAATTATGACCCGACGTTTCGGATGCTATGCTAGCAGTCGGACTGATGAAAGGGAGATGGAGGGTGTCCCTAATTTCAATTTTTCTGTGACCATAGGCGCCGCAAGACACCCGAAACGAATATATTTCAACAGCCTAATGAGTTTTATTTAAATAAAAACTACTCGAAAATATAGACTATACTTAGATATACGTTTCATTGTTATTCAGCTCCATTCCATCTTTGGGGTAAATAGTTTGTTAGACTTCTCTTCAATCCTGACCGTAACAATTAATTGTTTTCCTGGGACTCGAACTTTGGACCTCACGTGCTAAGCTTACTGCTAGGTAACATCTTAACCTACTTAGCTGTATTTCATAAACAACATAACATATATTTTATATACAGAATTTACAAATCTGCATATCTTTAGACATATTTAATTCCTCGTACAAAAAAACAACTCAAGCACCTGCGGACAAGTTTAATGGAATGCACGTAAGTTTAGTTGCGACTTGCGGACCTATTTTCTCTCATTTTTATAACTACATTTGACGTCAAACATCCTTTAATCAGAATGTCAAAACCTGTCAAAACATCCCAAATTCTCTGTGTAATTTTCAAACAAAATGCATACGGAATTAAATGTGTCGCGTTTGTGAAAAACGTTAAAAAATAACAGTGATTTATTAAAATGATGTATATAATATTGCCGATACTGGCAGGGGCTTCAGTCACCTCTTGCTTGTATTGCTTCTGTTGCAAAAGATAATTTGACAACGCAATTGAGCTTTGCTTAAGAGACCTAACTATTTGTATCATGGAGGTAAAAACTATCTGTTTGCTTATTTTTTATTATTAACTAGCTGTTACCCACGATGTCGCGTCTACTTGTGCTTGCTAAGTTAATCTTAAAAAATAGACATATACTCCTGCAGACATTTTTTAACTCATTTAAAAGAGGAACAAGTCCTTTATACATAGGATAGGTTCTGAGATTAGCGCGTCCAAACAAACAAAAACTCTTCAGCTTTTAATTAACAGTATACATAATTATTATTTTTATTAGTTCTAAACTAACTATACAAATAGATTTAGTCATTTAAGTATATCTTTCCTGACGCATTCAGTACATAGTACAATTTTGAAGGTAGTTTTCAATTAAGATTGCTTCATAGGTAGGTACTCGTACTTCGTACAGAGTGTTATTTATTACATCAAAGTCAATTTATGATTTATTACTTGTCGCGTAAAATTTTCGTACCTATACAAATTTGGCCATTGTTCTTTTGATCTATTTATGATGAGGCTGCTAGAGCCAGAGTAGCCTAACTGCAATTTTACGATTTTTATTTTTATAATTATATATTTGTCTAAAGATGTTAATCTACACGAGCACAGTGACCGAAAATTGTTAGCATAATTCTTTCACAAATAATTGTACAAATTTATTTTCACCTAAATTAATTATGCATTTTTATTTTCGTCCTTATTGAAAATCATGTTTTTTGTTATTAGGCCACTATGGCTAGCAGCCTCATATACAAATGTAACATTGTTTCAGATACCGTATAATAGTCTTGGTTTCCATCGGTCAACGAAGGCAGCAGAGCGTTCATGTCTTCCACACTTTCCTCTGGGACCACGAACGAGACGGTTTCGCATCATACAACTACGAGAACTGTCATCTGTATGCTAATGTTGTGGTCTATGGGGTGTATTTGGACTGAATTGTGATGAGTATTTCTGAATAAATTATTGTGATAGTCTTATTAGTTTTTAAATTACCATATATAAGTACGCAAAGATGGAGAGGAATGTCGCTTCGTAGTAATAAGGCCGCCAATAAAATTTCAATGTTTTAATATTTTTTTTGTTTAAAATCTCTGTGGGGACTGGAAAAAACTGATCTCTGCACGTTTCAGAGATCGACCTGTGTGTGAATTCCCGTTTTCCCCCGTGGGGCAAAGGGCAAACACATTTCTATATGCGTTTCACCGATTGGTTGTATTTAGAGGCAAGTAGATGATCAGAATTTTGTGCTCTCCAATCACACACAATCTATTCCTTCCCCGGCATTCAAACCGATGATCTTTCGCGCTTAACGCAATGCTAGGCATCACGTTTAACCATGCAGCAACAGAATAGATATGTACAACTTTACGAAAATCAGAGTGTGCATGGCAGGCGTAACTATTTTACCTTGGGATTCGAACCCAGTATATCGCTTTACGTTTGCAAAGCGCTTACTATTTAGCCACAGTGTTGGGTTGTTAAAAACTAATTTACTTAATAATTAGTAATAACAATGTTTTAGTAAAACAGTGACGTTACTTAATAAAGTAGGAAGGGGAAGGAAGTCGATGAAATAAAAGACCGTTGTAAGCATTTTTACAGTTCATACATATTTATTTATTCTTTCATATTAGATATCACACTGGCCCGCCCTTACAAAAATAAATGTGTAATACAATAACGACCCAGCTTCGCAAATGGCTGGTTCGACAGCGCCGTGATCAGACCGGCTCTTTCCAAACAATAAATATTGGCATCAATTTCGATACTAACCTACAACAATTTTTGGACACATTCACTACACGACGCGGTCGCTCCAGCCATTGACTCGGAATTACATTTAATATCCTTATAGAAGATAATTCTAAAAAACCATTATAGAGGTCGATATACACAAACTTTTATAATGTTTACATTAAAAATTCGCACAAATTTGACACATAAAGCGACAAAAGATTACTGACAGGAATAGCTTTAAGGTTTTGGTCCGAAACACAAGCGAGTTTATCCGCGAACAATACTAGCACCAAGCCACCGTACGAATATATAAAAGCTATCTACCTTTGCTACTGTTGTTCCTCATCTACCCGAGAGCTCTCACGACCGACGGCATTGGTATGGCACTCCAATTTACTGACTGGTGCAAGCTGTAAGTGGACTGTGATCCACGTGATGGTCAAAAGATAACTCGAAACTTGACACCAAAGTAATTGTATAAGGTCAGGACCGCGGTCGGGTATTGGATGCTCTACGCAAACTAAGCTCGCGTAAATTTTTCAAAAAGGGGTATAAAATTTATAAAAATCCTAAGAGTCTGTCAGAGCGATGGCAGGTTACATTGAGCAGTTCAAGTATAGAAAGAGAATAGCCTCATTTTATTCCGGGGTCTCCGGACAACTACTTTCAGCCTTCCCACATAGCAAGTGCATTTGATATGTCACACAGATAAGATAGTACTGCGTACAAACCTTTACGTACTGTACATTCAATGGCGGTAAATATTACAACCTTAAACCAGATTAGATTATGCTTTAAACACTAATTATATCGAAATGCAGAGTAATATTGGTATCAAAACATTAATATACTTACATCATGTGAAGGAGGGTAGATATGTGATATTTGTGTTACAAAGATACATTGAAAGCCTTTAAGAAGTTTTACTAGACTTTTTGTCTATAAAAATATAATTTAGATAGGTATAGATTGTAGAAGATGCCACCGAGTACACGGAGTTTACATACATTTACACAAAGACACGAAATTTCACATTATTTCGTCGTTATCTCGCTATTTTCGTAAGCCAATAGTTGAAAAAATGTTAATTAGAAAAATAATATACAAAAGTTTAGTATAAAAATATTGCTATTCAAGATTCGATTGCACGAAACCTAAAATAGTGAAATGGGCAGTGTATAATAATCCAAAAACTGCTTTCACGCCTTGAGCGGGTAGTGTTATTTTTTTCTTGAAGAGCAACGAGGAGTAGCGAGAACGCGACGAAGGGGCGGCCGGCGGGAGGGGATCCAGGGCCAAATTTTAAACATTTACTAATAAAATATTAAAGCTTAACATACATAAAGATTAAGCATTTCTGCATCTTATACAATAGCCTTCCAAAATAACCGCTGACAATCTCCTCCTAAAATAAAGTCTAAAACGTTAAAACTATGAGACTTGTGAGAACGATTAACGTAGGCCAGAGAAAAAACGAAACGTATAAAAATAAATTTGATTTAAATTAGAAAATCGATTAATTTCGCTGTACCGTCATTTCATAATCGTCAATTACATCCATAATATTATTCGTTACAATGCTGTGGTTAATTGAATGTGATTAAAATACAAAAAATTAAAACTTAAATATATATTTTACGTCAATGTCCATTCTTCCAACGTATTTTGACATCCGAAAGAATTCAAGTACAATTCCATATATTTTGTGAGTTAATTGAAGAGTTTCATAAAAAATAATAGAAAAAAATGACATACAATAAAGGTTTACAATATCTAAAATAAAAAAGTGCGAGAACGGAACGCTTCTGCAAAGTCACAAGTTACGTTGAAAAATTGTGCAGGGCCGTACTCAGACATCAAAATTAAAACATGAGGCAAAACAATATAGTGGTGTCTACGGCGCCGGTGTGCAAGCGCTTTGCTAAAACGAGCAACACTAAAATAATAAAATGGCGGTGGTCTATCTGGTCCAGCTCTCTGAAGAAACAATTCAGCTAGATTCTTTCTCCTTTTCCTTTGACTCTGTAATATTGACACACGAATTGTTAATATTATTATAAACTAGCTGTGACAGTGACTTCGTCCTCGTAGAATAGTTATTTTGGCCTTTAACATTTGTTTTTGCAAATCACATAATCACCCTTATATATTTACTATACATTTCCGAATATCCAAAGCCAAAATAAGTCGACAGCAAATCTTGTTTAGATATTATATGGCTATTTCACCTAACATCAACTGAACGCCATGCTTGACTGTCTTTTATCATTTAAATAAAACACTTTAACGGTTTAAAACGCGATATATTAGTTAAACTTATTTGAAAATGATTTTTAACTTCGGCCCGACGTTTCGGATGCTTTGCAGCAGCCGTGGTCACGGGTAGAAATCATTTTCAAATAAGTTTAACTAATATATCGCGTTTTAAACCGTTAAAGTGTTTTATTTAAATGTGTACTACTCGCGTAAACTATAGACAGTGTCTTTTATCATAAAAAAAAGTATAGAGAAAATCGTTCTCTTTGCGCTGTTTTATAAAATGGTAAAAAGTATTTTCATTTTCTAATATTTTATATATGCATAAACAAACTGAATATTCATAGTTTTTTGCATGTAAAATTTTAAGCTAAGCATGTAAAATGCCTATAATGCAATATTGTGTAAGCATTGAACTTCGAAAATAATCATGCCTAAACTGCTCTTAAATATCTCCTACTATCCGATTTTGCATCAGCCCTTCATCTGACCAAGCTGGCTAAACGTACGTGTTCACTGCAACCTTTAGATTTACAGAATTTTAAGCTAAAAATACTTGAGTATTGCGTATATTATAATGTATATGCTTTGTATACTTTGTAATTAACAGGCAATTTGATTTGTAATTTGTATAAATAAGTTTCGCATAAGCAAATCGAAAAGCTGCAATGTGGCTTCACGCCAGAAGCCTTCAATGTGCGCTTAACCTGTGCGTAGTACGCTAAGCTAAAAACCTCTTACACATAAGCGACTTATAATAATTTTAAGCTGGCTGTAAGTGCTAAGCTCCACGACTAAGTGTCTGTAAAGGTAGATTTAAAATGTGTAAGTGTCATAAGATTGCAAGTGTTAAAACAGTGTGATTGCGCTTCGTTTATTTGTATTGTGTTTTGAACCGTTAAAAACGTTAAATTCAATTAATGCGTGGAAGCTTTATATATTGCGTTTTAAACCGTTCAATACTTTGTATTCAATTATTGTGTGGTTGCTTTATACATATTTCGTTTAAAACCGTTAAAAATCAGCTTAATATAATTTAAACTAACTGCGCATTTATGTCACAAATGTGTAAGAGTTTGCTTTTTATCATAAACGTGTTTGGTAAATGAGACAAGGACAGTTTAAACATTTACATATCTTAACGTTATTTTCAGGCAATAAAATTATTATACCAAATGTAATAGAAAGCCAATATGTGTAAGAATGAAAACTGTCACATATCTCATACAATTTTGTAAATAGTCGAAGCATCTACGCGTCTACGCATGCCTGGTCACAATTCGGGACTGACCTTCGTCACTGTTACCATTAGTGAGCGCCTCCTCACCATTCTTTTCTCCGTTCTCCGCTGGCTTCTTCTCCTCCTCTTTCGTCTCCTTCTCCTTCTTCTCCTCGGAGCTCTCTTTGGCGGGTTTCTTCTCCTTGCCCGACTTGCCCTTGGCAGGCGTGGCTGGTTTCGGCTTGGGCTCTAAGGAAGGATCGAGCACGAGCTTTCCAATGTTCTTGCGGTCGTGCATCTTCTGCATGGCTTCAGCGACCTTGAAAACAATAGGAATCCTTAGAAATATGAACTTCATTTAAGAACTGACGTCATTATAAAAGAACTTACATCTTCTAACGCCCAAGTAGAGTCAACCAATGGCTTCACTTTTCCCTGTCCCCAGAGCGAGAACACGGCGTCAACAGCACGACGGACATAGTCCGTTCTTCCATTCTGGAAGAGCAGGTGCCGCAGGTTCAGACCCGCCAGGCTCTTGTTCTCGTCGAACAGCTTGATGGGAGACACCTTATCTACTTGCCACCACTGAAAGAAATTACAATAATTGAAAATCTGGCAGGATGAAAATACTTTTCAAAGGCTTTTTTCGTGTCTAGTGCATTTTTTCTAACTTGGCAAAAGTCAACATTATGGCCGATTTTAAAGAGAGACACAGAATGGTGACCTTTTATAGAGTAGGCCACAGATGACACAAGGATAAAGCATGATATATAGACCAAACGACCTCAATATTCAAAATCACTTTTTTGATGATCTTTTTTTAAATTGTTTATGTCATTACTATTTAACTCGGCGTTTGTAACGCTTTTCTACATCATGCATGAGTGGGACTTCTACCTTTTATTATCGTTGTCTTAGCTTACATCCCATCTTTACGTAAATGTCAGGCTGAAAAAATTTCGTAAATTCATTCTGTGCTCAAATTGTAGTTACTAAGTGAATTTGAGTAGTTCATTAGGTTAATATATAACCAAGTGTCTCAAGGTGTGTTTGTTTAAAACGTATGTCAAGTTAGAAAAAATACACTATAGTTGTAATTTTATTGACATATAAACATGTAAACACAACCACAGCTTCGAGCTAGCTCACTGTAAACTTGTAGTGTTCGTTACTAATCCTAACCTCAGTCATGTAAGCGTTCACCACAATTTCACCCGCAACATTATACAAATCGTTGCAAAAACATTGACGTAACGAATGCATTGCTATCACCAGTTACGAGTTGGATTATGTTGCTTTTTCCGTATTCGTACGGTTTCAGTATAATATTGTTGCCGGCTCGCAAACTTTGCGTCCGCTCATTGTTAACGAAACCAAATAAAGCTGAAGTAACGATGAAGCTGTGTTATTTAACGATTGTATTAGTTAAAACATCACTGGCGTCAACTACAGACAATATTTTACTCACTGTCTGTAGTTTACGCGAGTAGTACTCATCTCAATAAAATATTAACAGTTTAAAACGCGACATACATTAAGTAGTTGTTGTTGAGAATTATTTTAACTACGGCCCCTGTCTCCCCGTAACTACTGCTGCAAAGCATTCGAAACGTCGGGCTTTCAATTAATTGTCAAACAAGTTAAACTAATTTATATCGCGTTTTAACCCGTTAAAGTATTTTATTTAAATATTTTACATGTCAGTTAAGTATTGGCTGTATTTAACGCAAGTTAAAACACTTTTAACGGTAGAAAACTTAAACGTATTCATTTATTTTAATTACGCTTTGATATTTGTTAGTATTAAACCGTAAAAACTGTGTTTTAAGTCACATCTTTCTATGGTGGATTACCAATAGGGTAGTTAATTAAATGCGGGTACCCGCATCTAACTACCAATGTGTTGTTATTGATTGAATCTGTTCGATAAACGAGATATTTTGTAACACGTTTCGAGAAATGTATATGTCGGATTTTAAAAGGGGAAACGGAATTCTGATGAATCTACAATTATATAAATGATGTACTTGAAATATTGTAAACGTAACTTAACAATATGCACTGTGGATAAACAAGGAACATAAATGTAGTCTGCAGTTTACGCGAGTAGTACACATTTAAATAAAACACTCAACAGTTTAAAACGTGAATTGTTTGAATTAAATTTATTTAGACATCATTTTAACTACCGCCCGACGTTTCCGATGCTTAGCAACAGGTATTAACATATTTCGCGGTTCGAACAATTTAAAGTGTTTTTTTTATTTGAATGTGTATTTATAGTGTCATTTATCAGATAGAGCATTAAATACTGTCTGTAGTTTATGCGAATAGATAAAACACTCTAACGGTTTAAAATACGATGTCATCCCGTGACCACGGACGGGTGCAAAGCATTCGAAACGTCGGACCGTAGTTAAAATAATTCAAATAAGTTTAACTAATATATTTCGCATTTTAAACCGTTTATAAGTGTTTTGTTAAATACTGTCTATAGTTTACGTGAGTAGTACACATTTAAATAAAACACTTTAACGGTTTAAAACGCGATATATTATTTAAACTTATTTGGAAATGATTTTTAACTAATTTTGGTTTCCCCGTGACCACGGCTGCTGCAAAGCATCCGAAACGTCGGGCCGAAGTTAAAAATCATTTCCAAATAAGTTTAAATAATATATCGCGTTTTAAACCGTTAAAGTGTTTTATTTAAAGGTGTTTTGTTATTAAGCATTAGCCACTCACCGCACGCGCAGCACTGAAGAAGCTCTTCGTCTCACCGGTCACGATGTTAGATGAACCTATGATAAAAGGACATTCTCGACTTGTAATATACGCAATAAAATTTATAATTATCTGAGTATTTCCATTTGAAAGCATAAATGAGGTGTAATGTATTACAACAGGTTCTCATCTTGTTAAAGTTATTACTTGCAGTTAAAAGGTTTCTTATAATATACATTAACACTAATTACTTGTATTAGTGTGTATATAAATAATTAAAATCTAAAAATACTGTAAAATACATACGTATAAACATGTTTAGACAATTATGTACCGTACTTATAGTTAACTTAATAAAAATCTCGTTTTTATTTGTTTTATACTTCTGGTGTTAACTACAAACTTTTTCCCACGGGTACGGGGCGAACACATTTCTGTGTCCGTTTCACTGATCGGCTCTTTTACAGGCAAGTAGTTGATCGGACTATCCAAATCCAAAATAAGTCGACAGCGTACATCGACAACCTTTTCATCAAAACCTCATGGTTGTCTGTCCCCTATCATAAAAGAAACTTCTGTGCCCTGCCCGACCGTAAAACCCTTATGCTTAACGCAATGTTTGGTACATTAAACCTTTTAGTTAGAGAGGCGGTTTCAACTATAGATAGAATTTAATTATCTATGTACATATTATTTTGACACGTACCATACAATATATATCTTCCCATGGGCTTCAGAAGTGAGTAGCCGCGGTTACATTCCTCACCGCACAAGCAATCCAACACGATGTCCACGCCATCAGGACAAATCCTAGGATTAATTAAATCAAAGATATACAATACTGCGACACTTATTAGGTGTCTTTATTGACTCAAGGTCTTTCATCACGTCAGCACGTGCTTGAAATTCTTGAACACAATTATAATTCAATAATATATTAATATATGTGTAATATATAAGGCTAAAGACTTTGTTTGTTTGGACCATTTATTGAAGAAGGCTATAGACCACCGACACGAGTGAACAGAAACAGTGGTCTATTGTTCATGTTTGGGGGTTTCTGTTGCGTTCAAAAACGGTTCAAGATGAAAAAATATGTTTGAAAGAATGATTTCTCCTTTAAATGATGTAAAAAGAATGTCCACGACAGTATAGTACTTTCAAGATTAAATTAAGAACAACGGGGCGCAGACGACGTCGTGTGTAAACATCTATAAGTTATAATGTAGGTTTGCAAAAATAAATAAAATGATTTCCAAAATAACCATTCCACGCGCATTCGCGAGCACAGCTAGTAAATCAATAAGCATGTACCTTAAAAATGGTATAGATTAAATTCTTCCACGTCCCATGAGCGCAAGAGCGGAATGTTTGTTTACATTAGGGATTGTTGGGCTCATTTGTTTATACTAGTAAGAGCTTACCAGATATAAAAATATCTGTCTATTTACAAGAATTAAATGCCGCACGGCTGTTACAAAGCAGCTGCCCTAAGGAACGAGTTATAAACGGTACAATTAATGTAGAGTGCCAGATATGGATCTTGACTTAACTATGAGACGGGCGAGAAGCTTCGTGGATTGTGAGGGGTCATACTGAATTGGTCTAGCCGGACGCGGGACGATATGGGTGGGAGAGAAGATGTAACGCTAATAACGTCCAATTAAAGCATGGGATCCAAAACAATTGCTCTATGCTTTGGGAATTTATGGGAACGCACACGAGATATGTGCGACGACAATTAACGAAACAACGAATGTAAGTGGTATAAACGTAAACAAACAATAAACCGGGGCGAATAGAATGTGATTCGGAATAAATTGAAAGAAAGGCTACGACGCGTATCGTATCGAGGGGAACAACAATGCCGTATCGGTGGAGACTTGAAAACGAAAGTTGGACGTGAGAAATTTCACGCTCTCTTAATTGGGGCAAACAGATGACAGAGTCAATATTTGAGTTGATGTGTGGCTTCGTGAAATAAGGAGCGAGGTTACAAGGGCTGGATATTTTTAGCGGTGATTTCACATGGCTCCCTTCGCATTTGGAGTACGCATTAAAATTTTGCAAATTGGCTGCGGTATGAAATATGAGTCACAAAGAGATGAAAAAGAGCGCGGTTTTTTTGATGACAGAAATATCGTAATTGGACATGATGGAGTGTAATTCAACTCGTCATCTTTGGATGTAGGTGCTTGCATGAAATTTCAAAAACGCTGACGCTGACTAATGATCAACGGGTCATAGTTTTACTCACCACCAGATCCACCGTGTTTCTCATCAATTTATAATTTTCTGAAACATTTTGGTCTTCGTCTGGAAATCTGGATAATAAATGGGCGGTAGGAATATCGAAATCGCGAACCATCGCGCACAGATGAAAAAGCCGTGAGATTTAATGACGTTTTGGATTCAATCTGTGGATTTCTGAATATCCGAAGACAAAATAGTTTGACAGCATGTCCTTTTCGATGTTATATGATGTGAACTCCATGCTTGACTGTCCTCATCAATCATAAAAACCTTTATTTAAATTTGGTAAAACATTTTGATAACTTACTTCCTGACTTCGCTGGTGTAGTCGCTTCCACGCTCCAGGAGGTGGTCGATGTTGTTGTTGTTCGCTTTGAGAGCTTCGTGCTTGGTTTTGGAACAGACTCCGAAGACCGTCACATTGTCAACCGTCTTGGCAAGCTGAGCTACTGCTTGGCCCTGTTAAGTGTTTTAAATTAAGTAACTTCTTACTCTCGCTACGTCATTATTACAAAGAAAATGGATAAAAGCACCTTTCCCGATTAAGAACCGTTTTACTATATTACCGTAAAAAATTAATTTATTTATAACATAAATGTCTGATTATAATTTAAATTGTTATTTGAATGTGAATATAGAAATCGTGATTTAGAGTCGAAGTTATAAAAACATAAACATAGTGGTATCTGTATATTTGTTTAAGGTTTTAGGTATTCTAATGTTAATAACTTTAGTTTCGATTAAGTTTAGCGTAAGGGTTAATTTTTATTGTCCCCGTTGACATTTGCTTCTTTACTGTAATTTTGTTTGTTCTTATACTTGCAAAGGTTGCCTGGAAAAACTCGCCATAGGCCGCCTTTGCACAAACATCTTTATTTTTATATATTATTTTATGTGCCTATGTTCTATTTTGGTGTAAATATGTTTGTGCAATAAAGAGTTGTATTAAATAAAGCACTAACGGTTTAAAACGGGATACATATTAGTCGTAGTATCTTCTGTAAAGCATCCGAAACGTCGGACCGCAGTCAAAATAATTTTCAAACAAGATTAACTAATATATTATATCGCGATAGTTAGTGTTTTATTTAAATGCGTACTACCCACGTAAACTGCAGACAGTATTTAAGTTTACTATTATTATGAAATTCCTAGACTAAGTGTTTCACGTTAAAAAAATTCAATCGTGACCTCAACTCGACACGAATTAATTCAAAACTCGATAAGAGCATAAATATTGTCGAGAGGTAATCGAGAGTTCTAGCAACGCCGTTCGTAATAATAGTTGTTTGTCGCCCTTGACTGAATATTTTCAAAACCCGTATAGAATAATTGAGAGCGCTGGTATACCCCACCCTACGCTCTTGGAGCAATCGTCTCGAATTACCAACGGTTCATTGACTTCGCGGGTAATGAATGATGTAATTGACGGAAGCCAGAGCATTCCATACACAAATGAATATTTCTCACCTAATCCGGAGCACAATTAACGTACGTTAATTGTTTGCGCGCGCGTCTTACTATATATTTTTTGTCTAAAAGATGGGAACAGACAAGAGAGGGGGGGGGGGGAGGCTCACCTTTCTCGTCTGTTCTCATTGTACCTACAGAGAAAACTCTTAATGAAACGTAAAAATGCTGTTGGTCCATTTTTGTTTATGACATAAACATCCTTGTAAGAAGTTGGAGTATTCAGTAACATTAAATATTTATATAACTAACTATAGCTTGAGATAATAAAGTGTTGTCTGCCGTTTACGCGAGTAGTTCACATTTAAATAAAACACTTTTAACGGTTTCAAACGCGCAAAATAGTTGCTGCAAGCATCCAGAACGTCGAGCCATATGGAACTAATACATTTCGCGTTTAAAACCGGTAAAACTGTTTTATTTTAAATTAGACGTAATTGACGGAAGCCACAGCATTTCATACACACATGAATATTTCCCACCTAATCCAGAGCACAATTAACGTACGTTAATTGTTTGCGCAGACGCAGCTTAGCGATACGTGTACCGGCGAAGATATTCTCCGCAACCCAGGGTCAATGTTACGTGTATATTTTTAGATAAACATTTATTTGTTTATTCCTGATCTGGCGGACTTTTACGGAGTATGTAGGTATATAGACTACTTGCGTAGGCGCATCGAGTTCATTTTGAGCGTGAATTTTCTTGATTAAGGCTTTTATATTATGAACGATGTACCTATTGGAGAAATGGTACGTTGGACTCACAGACCAATATAGGACCTTATATGTAAGTTTATTAAATGTTTCATTTCTCAAATACTGTCTGTAGTTTACGCCAGCAGCACACTTTTAAATAAAACACTTCAACGGTTTAAAACGCGATATATATTGTCTCCCCGTGACCGCGACTGCTGCAAAGCATCCAAAATGACGGGCCGTAGTTAAAATAATTTTAACCAATATATATCGCGTTTTAAACCGTTAAACCTTAAAGGTTTCATTTCTCGCTAATTGCTCTAACCTAAAACTAAGACTGCACTATAGAACTTCTTTGTTTATGTATATGTAATCTAATATTACGAACTCAATACGGCCTATCTATTCATGGTACGCATATCACACCATTAATGAAATATAAAGCTTTGATTGATTCGGCTCATAACACGATTAACAAACACAAAGGCGCCATTCTTCCGAGGCTACAGACGGATATAGCCGATATTTAGACAGATCACATTAAAAGGGCCGGCAACCCAAAAGAGGCCGCGTTAAGTACTTTAACTAATCTAAGGAACACAATAGTTTATTAAACACTGTTAACATTTCAACGTTAATGTATACTAATAAATAAAGCTGAAGAGAGAAGAGACTACTGGATAGAAATGAAAAAATATGTTTGTATTCGAGGAAGACTATAACAACACGATGCGACTAATAAGAGCGAAGAAACAGTGGGAAATGTGGAGAAAATGGAGACAATCATTTTTTGTAGGTGAATATATATATTCAAGCATATGTATATCTCTGATATATAAAATTCTCCTGTCACAGTGTTTGTTACCGTACTCCGAAACGGCTTTACCGAGTTCCACCAAATCGCATATGTGTATTCAGTAGGTCTGAGAATAGGACAACATCTATTTTTCATCCCCCTAAGTGATAAGGGTTGTTCACCCTTAAATTTTTTTTTTTAATATTTGACGAAATTTTTTTTTATTTTTTTTCTAATGTGGCATTAAAAATACATACTACCCTAAATTTGCACTTTTTTTATCACGAACCCCTATTTTTTATAGCTATTTTAGTAAAATTATATGGCAAAACAACGTTTGCCGGTTTAGCTCGTAATGATATAATTCTTTAAATGATCAGCTAGTTTAACACACGACCCAACGTTTCCGCTACTATCCAATGATATTTTGTCGCGTTTTAAACCGATCTAAGTGTATTCTTACCATACGACCACAGACAATAAGAGCAACTCATGTTCTTGGCCCAATAAGTTCAAAGAAATTCTACCATTCTACATTTATGACTGACTCACGTATTTTTTTATGCTACTTGACTACTACTACTAGATAGACCAATCTACTGATTTAAAATGATAGCAAATGAATATGTGTGTTCGAGCTATGATGGTTCGAGCTTCCTCTAAGCCCACCAAGTTCTAAAAAAATCTAAAATTTGGTTGGCCACTTGAACATCCATAATTTATATCAGTCGTAATTAAAAAAAACTCGACAGCATACCAATGCTCAGCTCAATCTTTAAATAACAGATACTCACCACACCGCCACCAGCGGAATGCACCAGCAGACTCTTGCCAGGTGTCAAGTTCGCCATCTCAAAGAGGAGCAGGTAAGCCACCAGGTAGTTGGTAGTGATAGCAACAGCATCGAGAGCGGACATACCCGCGGGCAAAGCGTACACTAGTTGAGCTGGGACGGCGACCAGTTCTGCCCAGGCCCTGTACTCCGGCAGAGCTACGACCTGGTCTCCAACCTAAGAAAATGCGTAGTATTAGAGGCAGTAGTGGATGGTGGTGTACAACGTATAACAAATATTCTGTATTAAATAAAACAAGAAACAGAAGATAACATAAAATTTATGGAATTAACAAATGGCGTTTATAGCGAAACAGCTATCTTATTCAAACAACCGTGGTGGAAATGAAAACACAGTAATAAATACTGTTCTATAGTTTACGCGAGTAGTACACATTTAAATAAAACACTTTAACGGTTTAAAACGCGATATATTAGTTAAACTTATTTGGAAATGATTTTTAACTTCGGCCCGAAGTTTCGGATGCTTTGCAGCAGCCGTGTCTCCCCGTGACCACGGCTGCTGCAAAGCGAAACGTCGGGCCGAAGTTATCGCGTTTTAAACCGTTAAAGTGTTTTATTTAAACACAGTAATAGTAAAGATATGCAGAAAAAGTACTTAATTAAATGTATTACTTGTAAAAGAGTTATTTGATAAAGTAGAGAGATAAAAATAGGTACTTGACAAGGTTCTTAAAGAAAGCCAAAAAGAAAATTAACACATATCTCATCCCATGTTCATCATATCTCCATTTTTTCAAACTAATAAACGCCTTAGTGGGTTTGGCAGTGAGAATAGGTACAACAATTAATTATATAGAAATGATATCGTACCGTACCGTAAAGATTAGAGAGGTGGTTTCGATAACGATAATATGAATGAGTTTCTTTTAGTATTCAGTGTTAAGAAAATAGATAATAGGGCACAGTTATAAATAACGTTTAGAAATTAATTACTAATTATCCTGTCAGATTGGTAACTGGAAACCGCTTCCTTTCAACAAGGCTACGATCAATTTTAAAAATCTACTATTAGATAATTAGACAGAAAACATGTTATTAACTTAATAATACTAATTAAATTAAGTATATTATGATTGCTATATGGAGATAAATAACTAGTTTATATTTTCAACGGCCATCCTATATTATTAGACTTACATAAAAACATGTAGGCTAGTTAATCTGCAAGTCATAAAAAGCGACCTATTGTCCATTGTATGGCGTTCTCGCTAAAAAAAGTGATAATTTGAATACGACCTGTTTAAATGCGGACGTACAGATATACGAGGCCGCTAGAAGCAGAGTAGCCTAACTGCAATTTTATGACTTGACTTATTTATATTTTAAAAGTCTAAAGATCTAAGTCTGAATCTACAAAATCACAGTGACCGAAAAATGTTAACATAATTCTCATACATATAATAGTACAGATTCATTTTCGCCTAAGTTAATTGCGCATTTTTATTTTAATTCTAATGAAAAATCATGTTTTTGTTATTAGGCCACTCTGCCTCTAACAGCCTCATATACGGGGGGAGAGGGGAGAGGCGAAGTAAGGTATTGATTTTTTTGATAATTTTTTATACCTTAAAGTTGGTAACGCCTTCACCAACTTGTTCGACCTCACCAGCGCACTCGAAGCCAAGGATGAATGGCGTTTTGGGCGGTGAATCGATGGCTCCCTGCCGGACAATCAGATCTTGGAAGTTCAGACCACTGTAACAAGACAAACATTAGGTTAATTGATGATAGTAGGAAAGTTTATATTGAGACAAAAGTAGTCAAACGAACCATAATATTTCCTGTATTCAAGCAATAAATGACACAACGCAGGCAGCTGAGGTCCCCCCATGACCACGGCTGCACCAAAGCATCTCATGCTTGTGAGGCCGTAGTAAGAATAAATTGTATCATCAATAACGAAGATATTACAAGTTTAAGCCGTTAAGTGTATTTTTGTTTTACAATTTATTTACACATTCGTCATTCTAATAAAATACATTAGGCCCGATGTCTAAAAAAACCTTGTATCGTATGTATGACTATGTATTTGCTTTAATAAACAATGTTTATCTTAGTTATGCTTGGTATGCGCATGACCGGAATAAAACACTTAGCAATTAAATACTACGAGTACAAGAACCTCCACGCGTATAACATATTAATGTCTTATGTAGTAAATATATATTTAGTAAAACAAAAAAAAATGGGAAATCAAACTACGAAATCATCTCGATAATAGTAGCGCTAATACTGAACGGGGTGTTTGTTTAATGTCTGCAAGTCCCAACATGTTGCTAAGTGATGCCAACTCCTATAGAATGTTCTAGAACACAGAAACACTGATGCCGTCCGCTCGTGATGGCGAAACGTCAAGAACCTCTTCTTGCTTACGTTGACCGAATCAAGCCGAAAAACAATGATATGCTTAAATACTCTCTGTAGTAAACGAGTAGTATACATTTAAATAAAACACTTTAACGGTTTAAAACGCGATATATTTTACACTTGTTTGAAAATTATTTTTAACTATGGCCCGACGTAATAATAGTTTAAAATAATCGCGTTTTAAATCGTCAATGATATGCTTAACTAAACAAAGTTGGCATCACGGGTACGTCCGTGTATTGATTGGGAGTCGGTAGTCATTAAAAAAACTTGCACGTAGCTGATGACAATTGCGCTTTATTCGCGAGTAACACGCATTGATACAATCGACGTGAATCACAAAACTGTAGTTATAAGGGTGATAATGCACTTTATATGTAAAACACTGCAATAAAGTTCAAGCCAATAGAACAACGACCAAGCGAACAAGCGTACAATATTTACTACTTAAACGGTTTGAAACGCGATAGATATTACGGCACGTGTCTCCCCGTGACCAAGGCGGCTGCGAAGGGTTCGAAATGTCAGGCCGTAGTTAAGATAATTTTCAAAAAGGTTTAACTAATATATTTCGCGTTTAAACCGTTAAAAGTGTTTAATTTAAATGTGTATGAGTGCGTAAACTGCAGACAGTACTTAAGGACTTGACGATAAATCATTTCATATTGATTTATTAACAAAGTTAGTTTTTTCAGAGAAGATTTAATGTTGATTTTTGTCAATGGAAGGGCTTTTTGTCAGTGAATCTAGAACGTACGAACTATAAGTCTGGCTTTTAGGCTTGTATTAAACTGTTCGTTTTGCATAACTAGTATAATCATTGTGCGTTGCATTGAAACTTAAAAGGGCAGAAACTCGGTCTTAACCAATTTCGGTAGCGAACTCAATAATGTGAATACTTCAAGATCGGCATCGTATCTTTTTACGCGCATTCCTTGTATACAATTTTATATATTTCGCAACTCAGACATCTGGTCTTAGTATTATGATCGCTTATACCATCGTTATCTTAATGGTGCGTTTCGTAAAACTTTTATGTTTCAAATAAAACAGATTATGTAATTTTATTTTTAGCAAAACGAAGAATGAGTTTATTTAAGAAGTAACAGTGATTACACGAAAATTATAGCAATTAATGATGATGTGTAAAAGACGTTTAACGGTTCAAAACGTACCTAGTTTACGCGAGTAGTACACATTATAATACTTTTAAAGCGAAATTAGTTAAATATTAACTACGGCTTAAAGTTCCGCGTGCATTAGCCCCGGAGGGCTAATACAATTCGCGTTTATAACCGTTTAACGTGTTTTATTTAAACGTAAAATATACTTATTTTTACATACAAATCGATGTTTCACGCGTTTGTATCGTTTAAAATAAGTAAAGTAAAGTTCGTATTTAAAAGTTTACTTCACGCGTAAACTACAGATAGTATCAAACTCCTATGACCTAACTAATGATATATACGATCTCCTTCCTCAATACTGCACATCGCGGAGCGCTTATTAAAATTAAAATTTTGATCGAAAATAAAAATTCAACCAACTGGTTTAATAATTATTCTGAGGCCGTGTCGTGGGGCGTCATGAACTTATTCGAAGAACAATGCTCAAATGACGCGCGACATTGTTTACATGATACGCTGCTAACATGACGGACAGACAGTATCTGCTATTTAACTTAACATTGCTAATAATGTGCGACAATGGAAATGTATAACATGACACTATATATTGTTCTGTTGCTAGGAATTGTAACGATCCATAATACTAATCAACGCATACTGCGAAGTACTTAATTTGAAGCTTTGCTTATATTCAAATTTACTAATTATAAACTTTAAGAAACACTAATTCAAAAATTTATTTAAGAATGTACGTAATAAGTATAAACACTTTTACTTTTTATAAAATACAATTTTAATCTGCGGGTAGTTATAAATCAGTCGTTCTCAATATAAACTTGTGCTTTTATTTTAAGCCTAGCGTTTGACCAACAATCGAATTTGTGATACAAATCTATCGTATTTATAAATTTATCGATACTTTTCGTATGTTTTTATGATAGAGGACGACAGACAAGCATGACGTTCACTTAATGGTAGGTCAAATACCGATTTGAATATTCGGAAATCCACAGACTGAAACCGCAAAGCGTCTCAACTTCACGGCTTTGACGGTGCTCCACAAATGGGTGGGCGAAGTTTCTATATTACTATCATCTATTTAAATAAAACACTTTAACGGTTTAAAACGCGATATATTAAGTTTAACTAATATATCGCGTTTTAAACTATAGACAGTATTTACTATCATCCATTTAAGATGCAGACATTTCCAGACGAATTCCAACATGTTTTAGAAAAATAATTAATAATGAAATGTACGTAAAGTATTTTTTCTTTTTAATTATACTTTAAGTCTAATGGTTCGTAATTAGACTGTTCATTTTATTTCCTAATCTTTGGTAGATTTTGCAGCACATCCCGTGCAATCCCATAAAATTACCAACACTCATTGCCGTTCTTAATTTCAATAAAAACGTTGTGAATCACGCGCAGAATGTTATCTTTGTATTAAAATGACCTTAATCCAATGTGACTCACGACATACTGTTGACATTGTTTCAGTTTCTTTAGGGAACAGTTGGGGTGCGGTCTCCATTCACCCTCACAATGATGATTTATAGGCTTAAAGCCCCTTGATTATTATGCCATTTCCATATTTCCTCTTCATGTAATTTACAATAAAACGTTTTGTACCTTACGCGAGTACATTTAAATAAAACCCTTAAAGGATTTAAAACACGAAATGTAATAGTTAACTTATTTATAAGTCAGGCCGTAGTTAAAACAAATTGTAAATAACTTGACTAATATATTTGCGTAACCCGTAAAGGTGTATGTTGTATGTTATATGTATCTTATTTGCTTTCCCAACATATTTTATGTGGTATATCAAAGTTATTAAAGAAACTTTAGTATGACGATCCAAAGACTCGACGATAGGCGAGAGAGAGATCCCGGAGAGATATTGTAGCAGTAGTTTCTATTAAACTGACCATAAAAAAATGAACTACTTTGTTACACTACAACTAACACGTGTGTGCGTTAGTCAATTAAAATGCACACAAGTATCAATTTCCTCTTATCGCAGTCGAATGCTTTAGAAATCCCTAAGAAAGCTTGTTTCATAAAAACATTATTACCTATATGGTAATCGATGCACAATAACAGGAGTCGAATGAAATAATAATTGTTGTTCGGAATTTCAAACCCGGTTGAGCCTGCTCGGGCCTCTTTTATTCACTTTGAAATTTACACGCTACCTGACAGATCATTTAACGATCTACGATAACGTAGTAACAGAGCAGGTAAATGTGACGTTTATGGTGCATTGCGATCCCTTTTAATCCCGGATTAGTGGAGACGAAAATCTAACTTTGAGAAGGTAGTTATAAAAAACCGACGGAATTCGATATTCGATATTTTGAATATATTCGATCCATAGGTTGAAGGGTTTATGCAGCGCACGTAACGGAAGAATAATATTCCCTGTTCTTTTTTCCACATTTTTCTGATTCTTAGCTTTATTTGAACGAAGTCTCGTGTTTTATAGCCTAAAGCCTTCATCGATAAATATTGTATCCGACACAAAAAAAAACAATTCCAACGATAAGATAGTTCCTGAGATTAACTCGCTCACGCAAACTCTAGCTTTTACGATTATTCTTTACCACTGATTTTAACAATGAACAAAAGTATGTATTATCCGTAACTTACGCGAGTAGCACATAATTAAGATAAAACACTTGTAACTGTTTAAATAAAACACTTTAACGACGTCTCCCTATGACCACGGCTGCTGCGAAGCATCCGAAACGTGGGTCGAAGTTAAAAATAATTTTTAAATAAGTATAACTAATACATACCGCGTTTTAAACCGTTAATGTGTTTAATTAAATGTGTACTACTCGCATAAACTACAGACTGTTTTTACTTATAACTATATTAAAACACGAATTGTATTACGGTCCCATCGTAACCACGGCTGCTGCAAAACATCCGAAACGTTGTAGTTGAAATGAATTGTAAATAAGCTAATATATTTCGCGTTTTAAACCGTTAATAGAGTTTTATTTAAAAAATAGTATTAGTTGAATTTAACGTACACTTATTTTTCTTATGTTTCATTAGACTTTTCAGTAATAATTAACAAGCTACCTAAGCAGTTATTTCTTTAGTCTTTGTTGAGTTTATGCGTAAAACGAATAGAACTTGCGTGTTTGGAAATCCTTGTACCAAATTAGCCTTGGGGTCAATATAACC